GGACCGCGCAAGATAGCAAAGACAGTAGCGATCACGGCGGTCCTGGAGAGACAGGAAGCCAGTGTCAACATACAAGCTAAGGACGGGAGTCTAACGAAAGGCACCAAAACTGAGGCGCAACCCAGTATGGTGCAAAGCATCAAGACGGCGAAGAGTAGAAGGAGAAGCAGACGAGTAAGCAGGGCAACCATAATCGAGCTTAGACAGGACGAGAGAGGAATGTAAAGCAAGGAGAGTGCGCCTATCTGCCCCCCAAGAAGTATGGGACAAGACCCGAAGGAGGGTAAGGGCCTTAGAGCACTCAACACGGAGGTAAGAGATATGGGGAGACCAAGACAAACGAGTGTCAAGGAATAACCCCAAAAGCTTCGCGGAATCTTTGTATTCAAGGGGATGACCATAAAGTGACAAAGAGGGACGAAGAACAACCCGTTTCCGCGTAAATGTCATGGCACAAGTCTTAGAAGTAGAGAACTTGAAGCCATGATCAGTGGCCCAAGACGACACGGCATCAATTGCAAGTTGAAGCCGGCGTTGAAGGAGAGGCGAATCATCACCCTGACAACAAAGGGTAAGATCATCGACATAGAGAGCGGAGAAGACACCAGAAGGAAGAGAGGAAAGAAGACCATTGAGGGCAACAAGAAAAAGAGTAGTGCTCAGAACACTACCCTGGGGCACACCTTCGTATTGCTGAAAAGAGGGAGAGAGAGCGGTACCAAGGCGCACCCGAAAGGAACGACGAGAGAGGAAGCTGCGGAGAAAGAGAGGGAGATGACCACGAAGGCCAAAAGAATGAAGTTGAGATAGGATATGATAACGCCAAGTGGTGTCGTAAGCCTTTTCCAGGTCAAAAAGGACGGCAACAACGGAGGTCTTCGCAGCAAAAGCAGTACGAATATAGACCTCCAAGTTCACCAGGACATCTGTCGTGCTGCGGCACTTGCGGAAACCAAATTGAGAAGGGGAGAGGAGGTGATGGTGTTCCAGGAACCACATCAGACGAACGTTAACCATACGTTCAAAGAGTTTGCAGACACAACTCGTGAGAGCAATAGGGCGAAAGTCCTTAGGGGAAGTACCCAGAGACCCCGGTTTGCGAACAGGGAGGACAACGGCATCGAGCCAGTCCTCAGGGACTGACGACGACTCCCAGATCCGATTATACAGACTCAGTAAATACCGAGACGTGCTCGGAGGGAGATGGCGAAGCATCTCATAATGAATACCATCGGAGCCCGCCGCCGTAGAACCGCAAAGGGCCAGGGCAGAACGAAGTTCAGAGAGAGAGAGAAGGGATCATTATAGGGAAGCTGAAGATGAGTGCAGAAATCTAAAGGACGAGACTCAAGGACAGGTTTACGAAGAAGGAAAGATTGGGGAAGATGAAGACCAGAGCTAACAGAAGAAAAGTGGGAACCCAGTTCGGAAGCGACCTGCAACGGGTCCGCCACAAGAGTATCATGGAGGTGAAGGACCGGTGAAACATCGGGAACGAACTTACCCGCTATCTTGCGGATACGCTTCCAGATCTTTGCCAGAGGGGTTTCGGACGTAATTGTTGAGACATAAGATGCCCAACATTCACGTTTAGCCGTACGGATTGCCCTACGGGCCACCGCACTCGCTTTCCGAAAGAAAAGAATCGGTCGTCTGCCTACGGCGGTGCCTCTTCCAGGCTGCACGCTTACAGCGGACAGCCCGAGCACAGTCCGCATTCCACCAGAAAACGCACTTCCGTGGACCCCGAGAGGAAGAGCGAGGAATAGAGCGGAGGGCAGCGTTGAAGACAGTGTCATGAAAAAGGAAGAGAGCGCGAGAGAGAGGCAGAAGGGAGAGGTCAGAGAGAGCAGCACTGAGGGTAAATAGGGTCCAGTCTGCCTTAGCAAACTGCCACCTAGGAAAAGAGAGGGAAGGGCGAAAAGAGAAAAAGGAAACAAGGATGGGGAAATGATCACTTCCATGGAGGTCATCAAGAACCTGCCATGTGAAATCTAAGTAAAGAGAAGAAGAGCAGAGAGAAAGATCAAGACAAGAAAGGGTGCGAGTCCGAGAGTCCAAATGAGTGGGCTCACCAGAATTCAGAAGAGACAGGGAAGAAGATAGGAGAAACGGCTCAAGGAGGCGACCCCGGGTATTCGTCAGAACGTCACCCCAAAGAGAATGACGACAATTGAAGTCACCCAGCAGGAGCACAGGCTCCGGCAAGGAGTCTAGGTGTTTCAAATCAGGAAGAGAGCGGGACACTCGGGGGGAGATAAATGGAACAAACTGTGTACCATTTCCCCACAAAGATACGAGCAGCAGAACAATGGAGAGGCGAAGGAAAAAGTAAAGGAACAAAGGGAACATCTGCACGAATCAAGAGAGCAGAAGAGTTAGAAGCCCCAGCAATGGCTGGGGGGGGGGGGGAGAGAAAGGAATAGCCACGAAAACGACCAGGACGAGCACCAAGCATTGGCTCCTGGAGACGGACACAAAGGGGCGAAAACCGCGAAATCAGAAGTTGGAGTTCGAGGAAATTGGCGTAATAACCTCGAACGTTCCATTGAAGAATGGACAACGACGAGAAGAGAAAGGACAAAAACAGAGAACAAGGAAGAAACAAAGGCGAAAGAGCAACAGAGCACGTTAAAGAATATCAGGGTCGGGATCAGGGTCAGCAAAGTCAGGGTTAGGGGCATGGGTAAACTGAGCAAAGACGGAGGGAAGGAAACGGGAGAACAGATCAGAGGTGGACGGGCGGGGTCCGGAGGAGGAGGAAGAGGAGGAGACAACGGAGAGGAGCAGTCAAGGACAGCAGTAGGAAGAGGGGGAGTAGGAAGAGGGGGAGTAGGAAGAGGGGGAGTAGGAAGAGGGGGAGTAGGAAGAGGGGAGCGCACCCCAGCAAGAGCAGCAACCGAAAGGGAAGCAGGGGCCAAAGAAACCTCCATAGCAGGAACAGGGGGCGCAACCACTGAAACGGGAGGGGAAGGAGCAACAGAGCCAGAAGTAGGAGCTAAGGAAGAAAGCGAAGCCTTCTTACCCGCCGGGGAAGAGGAAGGAGAGGAGCCAGGCTTACGCTTCTGACTGAAAGAGACAGGTGTCCCAGCAACTACGTACCGGGCAACGGATTCCAGTGTCTCAACAGGAGAAGCCGAACGAGAGCACAGACGACGGCCGTTAGGAGAGCGATGGACATCCGCCTGCACCGACAGGCGGCGGGGAGAGCCGATAGATGGAGGAAGAGGATGGGAAGGAGGATCGGAGGGGGACGAGGAAGAAGACACAGGAGACATGACAGACCGGGTTGAAAGAAGGGGAACCCCAGACAGAGGACCAGGAGGGGGACCCCTCGGGAAAGAACTCAAAGGAACAGAGGAGGGGGCAGTGGGCGTATCAGGGTCCAAGGCCCGGAAACGGTTGAGAGTCTGAGGAAGGGGGGGAAGGACGAGGAGAGGAAGAGCGCAACACGCGAGCATAAGAGATGTTAGTATAAGGCGGGAGCCGGCGAACCTGGCGCCTCGCCTCAGGAAAAGACAAACGCTCCTGGTGCTTCAGGTTAAGGACGGCCGCCTCAAGCTTGTAATGGACACAGGCACGGGAGAACGTAGGATGGGCCCCACCGCAGTTGAGGCAGCGAGCTTGGGGAGAAGTGCACTCCGACTTAGAGTGACCTTCACTCCCACACAAAGGACAGAGAGAGACAGTCCCAGAGCAGCGGAGGGCACCATGCCCAAACCTCCAGCACTTATTACAAAGTCGAGGAGAAGGAATATACTCCTGGACAGAGCACTTAGCACCAGCAAGAATGACAGAGGATGGAAGGGTCCTACCATCAAAGGTGATCTTCACAACGCGAAGGGGTTGACGTCGACGACCACGAGGGGGACGAGTAAACGAGTCAACCTGGAGGACAGAATGGCCTTGGGCATCAAGGATATGCCGAATATCATCGTGGCAATCCTGCAGATTCCGAACACCGGTTGCAACATGGGGTGGGAGGAGAATAGTGCCAACACTGGAATTCATCTGAACGTTCTTGGAGACCCGAACAGGGATCTCGCCAAGGCAAGATAAGGCAGCCAAGCGGGAAGCCGCATCCTGAGAAGGAGCAGCAACGACACGTGTACCGAGACGAGTGGGGTTGAAAGTAACACACGCATCCACGGAATCTACAAGATGCCGATGGAGGGAGAAATCGTCAGGAGGCGCAGAATCAAGAGGGAGGAGATCAAAGTATTTGGCCCATGAAGCAGGACCAAACAAGGCCTGATACGCATCAGCACGGGAAGGAATCGAGCGAGTGCGGTTGGGGCGCGAACGGCGTTGAGAACCCCTAGAGAGAGAGGGGTCAAAAGGCGCAGTAGTCACAACGAAAGACTTAGCCACACCAGGGGACGAAGTGGTCACCACCGGGGGCTGGAGGCTCAACCCAACCTCAGAGGAGGGAGGGGAGCTGGGGGAAGAAGTCAGGACGGTCAAAGGAGGAGCAAGGTCGGGGCCCAATGCAGCGGGAGCTACAGAGCCTGGTCTTCCAATACAGGCCGACTCGGGGGCTTGGTCGCCCACCCCACGAGCCTGAGAGGGTACAACGGAAACATTCAACGACATAGAGACGAAAAGTGACAAATTCATCCACGAATGTGTCCCCATACCCACCATGGAGCCACAATTAGAGGCAGGACACCCAACAGGAAGCTATCGCCGATCATGCCGGGGTCCCCTAGGGGTGCGTCGTGAGTATACGCCCCACAAACGCCACCTCGTCAGTCCGTCGAGATCGGGTTCAGCGACGAAAGAGGGATTGACAATAAAAGGTTCCCCTCGCTCGAGACGTCGGGTACTACAGTTCTACGGGTGCAAGAGTATGCCTCCTCAAGCACCCGGGCGTCAAAATAGAAGAAGTCCAAAGAAATAATCCAAAACAAGCAAAAGGTCGGCAGGAAACGACAAGCAGATAGGAGAAGAGGGGGGAGAAAAACGAAACATAAGGAAAAGGAAAAGCGATCCGGCACAATTGGAGAAGACAGCAGCAGGAGTGCAAGGCCAGAAAAGGACAGAGGACTGCCCAACGGAGCATCACACTCCGGCAGCCGTCCACCAAGCCCCCTCACGACGCCAACGGGCCGGAAGGGGAGGGGGCCACAGGGTGTAAAAGTACAATACAAGGGGGGGGGGGGGGGAGGAGAATTGCAGACAAGGAAAAATACACAATACACCGAGATTTAGTTAGGAAGTGTTAATTCTCAGTATTGTGCTATGATAACACTGGCCAATAACATTCACACAATAAATGAAAATGTGTCAACCATGTACAGCACTTTATATACCATAAAATTGAAAGAAAATGCTTAATTAGCATGAAAATCAAATGTTATCAAATCTAATAAATCTATCACTGGTACTTATTTCAAATTGCAATGCCATGATAGTAGTAGTCTTGTCTAGAAATGCTGAAACAAAAATAATATAAATCATAGATAAATATTATTTTCTCCAAAATAACAATCAATTTACTTAATTTACTACACAAAATACAGAAAATTTAATTTATAAAATAAGCATAAAAATAAAAGCAGAAAATATAATTACAGTGGAAAAAGTTTTAGGGTTCCTCATTAACTTCTGTCACTACTTTTGTCTAAATATTTGGTTTTAAAAATCAAAATGTAGTTAACATGTAATAAAAATCTCTTAGGCTAAGGAAAACAGATATACAAAAATCTATTCATACCATTATTTGGTAACAAGAAACAAGAATCTATCAATGAAAAATGTGCAAACCTAAAACTATTTGGTGGTAACTCCTTCACCTTAAACAATATCATAACACAACCTTGTCTTCCCAATGGTCAGAATAAATGGTTTTACTGGTAACAAATGTAAATGCCACCCTTATCACCTTACTGGCACAAACAAAAGCTTGCTTGACCTCTACACTTATTAACTTGGACAAAAATTAAAATACTTCCTCACAAAGGAAGAGCAAAGAGGAGCTTCAGTTTAGCGACGCTCAATACATCAACTAATTCTCCTCGTGAATATATAATTCTATATTGTAACAGCCAAATTTACAAGAAAAATAAAGACAAAGTATTATAGCCAGGAAAGCTTATAACAACAATTGCAATTGTCATACATGTTATCAATTAGTACTGCATTGTACTCATAATTTTAGTGTCGTGTGTGTTTTGCCGCACCATGCAGGTGCTTAATAGGCTGAATTAATTTTTTAACATTTGAGATCAAAGTTATTGGTATTTAATAACCATTTTTGTGACAATAATAAACAAAATTTAAATAAATATTATAAATATGTTAGTATTTAGAACGGTTGCTTAAGACAGCATCTTTAACATCTGCTGGTATATTAAACACTTAAAACAATACCTCTCATTGGTCTCTATTATTACTGCTGAATCACTCATGTCTCACACAGTACTCAACACTGTATTTAAATACAGTAAAACAATATTAAGGCTGAATATTAGCAATTGATTTGCACCTATCAATTTCAAAGTGAAAGCTCTCTTCCACTGCTCCCTATTCTACTCACATGCATACTAGTACTATTGCACACACGCACACACACACACACAACAGCAACAATAAAAAAAAAGATTCACTGCAGCAGTTATATTCCATTCAATCAATTTTGTAAAAATACACAGGACAAGTTTCACATACAGCACCAGACATGAACAGTTTCAAAGTTTGTAAAACTGCTGAAGAGCATCACTAATGCTCAACAGCAGTGGATGTGTCGAGCACCACCAGATGGCAGCAGCACAGTTCAAGATAAAAAGAGACTTCACAACAGCATAAAATGTACACTTAGTTTGGAATAACTTGAGCAAGATCCAATTCTCATATCAGTGAGTTAAATGTGACTGGAAAATCACACACAAAATAAAAAAGAACAGTGAGAGAGAGGGAAAACTATTCATCAAAAAGAGCTCTTAGCTAAGTATTACCTAATCCAAACATGAGTTATGTCAACTATTACACTTCTTAAACACATGAAGTTTTTGTCAACCAAATTACAACTCATGCTCTGCTGACTTAAAAGAAACTATATAGATCCCTTAGTCACATACTTGAGCTAAGTATAAAGTCATACGACAAAGATTCTTAAATATCCTAGTTTTGTGCCAAATTGTAGTTGGTAACTTAGTCTTCATTAACATCTTTGGTGATATAAAACACTACTCTGATGTGGAAGTACAAACAGATGATTTTGCTGGTTGATGCTACCTTTCCTCTTTATGGAGCTATTTCTTTGGTCTTGTACATCAATTGCAGAGCTTACCGATGACCATTTTTCTTGTGTTGGTACATGTCATACTTGGTACGAAAGAGAGCCCCACATGTACAGGAAAAGGGCTCTTTACCTGGTAATAAACAAACATTAATTTTTTTTTAAACTATTCACTAAAGATCAACAGTCTATACATTATAAAATGTCTATTTACCTGATAACTAGCCCATGAAAGGTGACTAAAAAAAAAAAAAAATAGAATGTAATGAAATGTAATGAAATGTGTCTTTCTGATAGGTCCTTGGCGGGACCATGTTGCTAACAACCTGGAAAGTTCCACCCAATTCAAGGAGTCTGTAAAGAGGTTGGGCAAAGTGAAGCCTCAATGGACAGAATCCCAACAGACCTGAAGAGGAACTGGTGGACCAGAAGCCTCTGAAGGACCCATGAAGCCTACAGTCGATGGACCCAGAAGCAGCAAAAAGGGAAGGAAATGAAGGAAACAGAACAGCACCAGGAGCAAAAGAACAAAGAACCAAGCAGGGAAAAAGGCATTCCAGATCCCACCCTGGGCCCTAAAATTCCCAGGAAATGGAGATTTCTTTAGCAGAGCCATGATCTGCATCTGATGCTATGCAGAAAAGGTTCTCCCCCAAGGGAAGCTACTCAACCTCTAAATTACCTCCCATCCCCTCAAAAAAACAGATGGAAAATGAATTTCACTAGGAAACATCAGCTGAACTACATCAGCTGCCAATTGTGGAAGGGGCCTAGCCTGGGAAAGGCTTGACTTGTGAGAGCTAGGTCCAACACTGTTGCATGGAGTGGCCTGCAGGCCACATATCCACTATAGCCCATATTGTTCAGCACTTGCAAAACTTCTTGAACTTTAAATTTTGTTCCAGCAAAATTTTTTATACTTGCTGAGATGACACTGAACAACCATGGACCTCTGATGTTCAGTGTTTTCTCCGATTGTGCCTATGGGGCCTCTACTCATCACTAACTATTCTGCAATTCCTTCCATGACCTTCACTCCAGTATGTTGTTATTTTTAATGTGCACATTTGGGACCTGGACCTCCAGTATTTGAAATGTAAATATAATTTGAAACCTTTCTCATCTCCTTTCTAAAGGTTACCTTTTGAGAGCTTTGAGCTCTCAAAATAGTTTAGGTGCTGTATCGTGTTAATGCATGCTGTATATGTTCTCTGCATTCCCTCTAATTTAGCAATGTCTCCTGCTCTGAAGGGGAAAGTGAGTATCTAGTAGTATTCAATGCAGGATAGCACAAGTTATTTGAAAAGTATGAGGATTGTAATGGGATTCCTGGATTTGAAAATTCTGATAATCCATCCTATCATTTTTCTAGCTGACGCTATATTTGCTGTTTATGCTCCCTAAACGTTAGGTCATCAGACATTATTACTCCCAGATCCATTACATGTTGCTTTCCTACTACGCACAGATTTGATTGTGTTTTGTATCCTGTATTTTGTTAAAGGTCTTCCTTTTTACCATACCTAAGTACCTGGAATCTATCACCGTTAAACATGTTATTTTCTGCTGCCCAATCGAAAACGTTACTAAAATCAGCTTGAAGTTTTTCAGTGTCTTCAACAGAATAATTTCCATGCTGATTTTGTGTCATCTGCAAAAGATAATATGAAGCTGTGACGTGTATTTTGATCTGTTTGATATGAGAACAAAGGAAAGCAGTAGTAAAAGGACTGTGCCCAGAAGTACAGTATTTAGAACCGATGACTTTCACTGTGCTTAGACTATTTTATTTTATTGATTGTTACTCTTTGCATTTTGTTTGACAGAAAATTTAATATCCATTGCCCTACTTTAGGCATTATTCCTATTAACCTTAGTTTGTGGGCTATCACTCAATGGTCACATTTAACAAATGCCTTTGCAAAGTCCACATATATGTATGGAGGGCCGCATAGTCATTGATCCCTGAAAGCTACACAAGGTAGATGCTACATTTGCATTATGTTTTTCTTCTAATGCATCATTGATTTTGTCATAGTAGTCAAGTAGCTGTGAAAAAAGCAGGATCTTCCTGCTCTAAATCCATGTTGACCTGGGTTGAGGTCATTGGTCTCCTTAAAACTGGAGATCTGACTCTTGATCACTCAAAAACTTTTCTTATATGAAACGTTAGTGCGATTGATCTATAATTCTTAGCCAAAGCTTTGCTCCCTCCCTTGTGTATGGTGAACTGCAATAGGGGCTTTTGCACAAAGACACAAAGAACGTCTCTGCAATACGCGAGAGCGGATGGGAAGAAAAGCCAAACCAAGTGCAATTACCTAGCAATGTAACTCTTCTGGAAACATACCCTGACCAACAACAAGCCAGGATCTGCCACAAATCTGCCTCTCCTGAGCATTAGGTGGGCAAAACCCAACTGCAAAAGCAAAAGACTGAGGTTGAACAGCAACTGCTGCAGCTGAAAGAACTGGGAAACAAAAAGAGCTGAAAAGAAGAATGATGAAAAGGGCAAGAACCTAGCTGAATCTAAAGCATGGACTTGCATGGCCTACCAGCAAGACAGAAGAAAGGAATTGAAGCCTGCCGTCGCCTCCCGAAGGAAAAATGCAAGCAATTTGGGCAGTGCTTCAGAGGCCCCCCAACTATAGGCACACCAGTCAAGGTATCCAAGCCACCACTGAGCTAACCAGTGAACAGCTTCACAATAGACCACACACACATAATAAATAAATAAAAAAATAAATAATAAATAATTTGGGAATAAAGTATGCAATGCGTTATAAGCTGGAAGAAAATAAGGAGGTTGAAGCAGTTGAAAAACCAGACTTCAGGAGAGGACATTATGGTGACCTTAGAAATTTTTTTAGTGAGTATAATTGGACAGACTTGATGCTAGGCAAGGAAGTGAATGAGATGTATGGCAAGTTTTGTGAAATATATGATAAAGGCACAAAAAAATTTATACCAAAACAGAGATGCAGAACTAGGAAACAGGATTGGTTCAATAGAAATTGCGAGAGGGCTAGAGACCGAAAGACACAAAAATGGAATCAATACAGGAAGAGGCCGAACCCCCAAACATACCAGCGATACAAAGATGCGAGAAACAACTACACGGCAGTGAGGAGAGAGGCAGAAAGAAATTTTGAAAAAGGGATTGCGGACAAATGTAAAACAGAACCAGGTCTATTCTATAAATTCATAAACAACAAATTGCAGGTAAAGGATAATATTCAGAGGTTGAAAATGGGAAATAGATTCACGGAAGATGAAAAGGAAATGTGTGAAACACTAAACGAAAAGTTCCAAAGTGTGTTTGTACAAAATGAAATCTTTAGGGAACCAGATACAATAAGAATTCCAGAGAACAACATAGAACACATAGAGGTGTCTAGAGACGAAGTGGAAAAAATGCTCAAGGAGCTCGGTAAGAACAAAGCAGCTGGCCCAGATGGCGTTTCACCATGGGTTCTGAGAGAATGTGCATCTGAGCTCAGCATTCCACTTCACCTGATCTTTCAGGCATCCCTGTGTACAGGAATCGTAGCAGACGGGTGGAAACAGGCTAACATAGTTCCAATCTACAAAAGTGGCAGCAGGGAAGACCCCCTCAATTATAGACCTGTATCATTGACAAGTGTAATAGTGAAAGTATTGGAAAAACTAATCAAAACTAAATGGGTAGAACACCTAGAGAGAAATGATATAATATCAGACAGACAGTATGGTTTTCGATCTGGAAGATCCTGTGTATCGAATTTACTCAGTTTCTATGATCGAGCCACAGAGATATTACAGGAAAGAGATGGTTGGGTTGACTGCATCTATCTGGACCTAAAAAAGGCTTTCGACAGAGTTCCACATAAGAGGTTGTTCTGGAAACTGGAAAATATTGGAGGGGTGACAGGTAAGCTTCTATCATGGATGAAAAATTTTCTGACTGATAGAAAAATGAGGGCAGTAATCAGAGGCAATGTATCAGAATGGAGAAATGTCACAAGTGGAGTACCACAGGGTTCAGTTCTTGCACCAGTGATGTTTATTGTGTACATAAATGATCTACCAGTTGGTATACAGAATTATATGAACATGTTTGCTGATGATGCTAAGATAATAGGAAGGATAAGAAATTTAGATGACTGTCATGCCCTTCAAGATGACCTGGACAAAATAAGTATATGGAGCACCACTTGGCAAATGGAATTTAATGTTAATAAATGTCATGTTATGGAATGTGGAATAGGAGAACATAGACCCCACACAACCTATATATTATGTGAGAAATCTTTAAAGAATTCTGATAAAGAAAGAGATCTAGGAGTGGTTCTAGATAGAAAACTATCACCTGAGGACCACATAAAGAATATTGTGCAAGGAGCCTATGCTATGCTTTCTAACTTCAGAATTGCATTTAAATACATGGATGGCGATATACTAAAGAAATTGTTCATGACTTTTGTTAGGCCAAAGCTAGAATATGCAGCTGTTGTGTGGTGCCCATATCTTAAGAAGCACATCAACAAACTGGAAAAGGTGCAAAGACATGCTACTAAGTGGCTCCCAGAACTGAAGGGCAAGAGCTACGAGGAGAGGTTAGAAGCATTAAATATGCCAAAACTAGAAGACAGAAGAAAAAGAGGTGATATGATCACTACATACAAAATAGTTACAGGAATTGATAAAATCGACAGGGAAGACTTCCTGAGACCTGGAATTTCAAGAACAAGAGGTCATAGATTTAAACTAGCTAAACACAGATGCCGAAGAAATATAAGAAAATTCACCTTCGCAAATAGAGTGGTAGACGGTTGGAACAAGTTAAGTGAGAAGGTGGTGGAGGCCAAGACCGTCAGTAGTTTCAAAGCGTTATATGACAAAGAGTGCTGGGAAGACGGGACACCACGAGCGTAGCTCTCATCCTGTAACTACACTTAGGTAATTACACTTAGGTAATTACACAAAATTGCAACCAAGTGCATATGAGCACTATGATCCTCCGTGAAATCAAGCCGAGAAAACAAAGGCCCCTAAGCATGCAGCTGTCTACCAAGGAAAGAAGCTGCAAACAATGACAAAGTGAAAGGAAGTGCTGAAAGAAGAGCCACAAAACCTCATACTGTCCTGCAAAGAGGACCTCAGGTGGGACACCATCAACGAAGCCACCTGATGACCTCTGTAGGACTCCAACCTTTCCAGAACCCAGAGCAACAGCCAGACCAGAGGGAAGAAGTACAGGAATCCACAGCTCGATCAGTCCAACCAAAAGGCATCTGCCATAAGAGCCTTGCAATTGGGAAACGGTGCCACATACATAGGAAAGTGCCAAGACCACGCTGATGCAAAGATGTCCTTGTCCAGGTGCCGGAACGTCTCAAAGCCACAGGAAGGAGGTGGAATCTACATTTAACTCTGTGGAAACAGGAAATGGACTGAACTTCTTTACTCTCACACCACTGCTCCTTGTGCCTATTTGAGATGGAAGGGAGAGGGAAGGGAGGGGGGGGCAAGTTTTGGCCTCTGGTCCCCAATAGGCTTTTTAATGACTTGCAAGAGCAGGTGTGACTTAATAGTGTGGTGCTATCTCAGTGTGGGTAGCAACAGGGAGTCACCGAGGTCAGCCAAGAAAAATGCATTACATGGCATTCAACAATGGGTTTTATTCCACTTTCCCATTTTTTTTTTTATTTTTTATGTACAACTTTGATATATTTTTTAACTTTCTGATATCAATACAACATAATACGGCTGCATGGTTCACCGATTCATCAATTTCATTGAACTCACCATTTTTGCTATAAAATATTTTGTCACATCTGCTGCAAAATTTAAAAGCAATCATAAGAGCTTACCTTCAGCATGCATGATAGCCATATGAGTTCGTAACGTAGCAGCATCTCGATACATTCTTTTGCAAGTAGGACAAGGTCGAGGTTCATGAAATGCAAGCTTCCGTTGATATTGCTCTGAAAATGGGAAGAGGACTTTGTAACAATGAGCTTAATTTAATGGTGTTGCAGTACCCTACACCCATCTATGCCCATTTGGTTACCCTGTTAGACTCTTGCTCATTCAAGCCTGCATCTGGAGGCAACTAAGAACATATCGAAAGTTAAAGTCTGCAGATCTGCATACAGCATTAAGGGAGGTAGCCAACATTCTAGATGATGCCTCAAGTTGTGATATTACAGGACACTCCGACATGTCTCTCTCTCTCAAAAAAAAAAAAAAAAAAAAAAAAAAGGTTCGGCCAATGAGAACCGATCTCCAAACACACATCCTCTTTGTCCCAGTCTCCTATTGGTGAATCAAAACACTCGCTAGCTACCAGAAAAAAAAAAAGGTCATCACTTGCTAGCCTTCATGAGGTGGAGTACTGCTGACCTTAGCTCTGACCTTTGAAGCATCCTTCTGAATTGTCATTTTTCTCTACATTACATTTGTCATTTCTCGCAACATTATACCAATTGTCATTTCTCTCTACATTACAGTTGTCATTTCTCTCTACATTATAGCAGTTGTCATTTCTTTCTACATTATAGCAATTGTCATTTCTCTCTACATTATAGCAGTTGTCATTTCTCTCTACATTATAGCAGTTGTCATTTCTCTCTACATTATAGCAGTTGTCATTTCTCTCTACATTATAGCAGTTGTCATTTCTCTCTACATTATAGCAGTTGTCATTTCTCTCTACATTATAGCAGTTGTCATTTCTCTCTACATTATAGCAGTTGTCATTTCTCTCTACATTATAGCAGTTGTCATTTCTCTCTACGTTGCAACAGTTGTCATTTTTCTCTTCATTATAGCAATTGTCATCTCTTTACATTATAGCAGATGCCATTTCAATTAAAAAAAAAATTACATTGTGCATGCAGTTAGAATGTTAAAATAATTATTTAATAATTTATTAGGCTAACTAAATTCTGAATGGTAATAAAATGTCTAATTTTGTTTGAAGGTTTGAATGTTAATAGTCATTCAAGAGTGTTTTTTTTTTTACATTAAATATTATTCTACAGCTGGTTCATGACTCCCATGTTTCAGGTAATAATGAATGGAATATTTGTCTTGATATTTCCAAAGCTAGATCAATCATTCTGAAATTTGTGGACACTGGACTGTGATTAATGTCTGAAAAATCAATAAAACTTGTCTGAAATGTATAGTATCTCTCATGATAATTTATTGTATGCAAAATAGTGGCATGCACGCTTATGGATAACCACCTCTATACTGTTTGAGTTTTAAAAGAAAAAATTGTTTAAATCAATGATTTTTTTAATATTTGATTTAAATTAGTGATTTAAATCATCTTGATTTAAACATCAAACAGCCTTGAGTAGTACCACAACCTGACTGACTGCTATTTTGAGGAACATGATTGTACACCAAAGACAACTGTTTTAAAGTCAAGTACAACAACAAAAGCCAACAATGAAAGCTTATATAGAGAAACAAATTAGGGAAAGCAAACGATTTTACCCGTATAAAGCTCGAGACATGCAACTTACCCAGAGTGGCTTGCACTTCCTTCACAGACACAAGCGAAGGATGGATATATGGCTGGCCAGAACAAGTGGTAACAAGATTAGTAGTTGTACTGAGAGTTGTGCCTGTTGCAGTGGTGAGTGTGGTGCCAGCTGTCAGTGGAGTAATTGTGGTTGGCAGTGTGCCCGTGGTGGGTAGAGATGGGAGCAGCTGCACCATCTTTTCCATGTTGATGGTGCCATCAGTAATTGCGCTGCTGCCCAGCCCTATCAATTTAGAGAAGAGAGTGCAATTGAATTTCAAGTGGGACATATACTGTACATCAATAACATACAATAAATCCTTTCACTGCCTTATTTCCTCCAGAACACAGTGGCAGCAAAGTGTGGAATCTTGCATAAAAGTTTTAGCCAGTTACATCTCCAACCCCAAGAATCCTACATGTGGGCTTAACTGTTACACTAATATGATTGCACTTGCCCATCACCAAGCTACATCAATATGCATAGATAAGAGTTGCCCAAGATACACAGGTTGTAGATCTTCCATCACCAAAATAAAATAAGTGTTAGTAAACAAAATATTTATAAATATAGCATAAAATGAAATGAAACACCTTTCTGGAGGAGCCCTGGTGGCTTCCTGAAGCTATCTTCCTGAGATTGCTCCATACTAAAAGGTCACATCAGTCATGGAAGTTCTGTTTAGCCTACAAGGGACCAAAGTCAGAACCTGGTCACGCTTTCCCGCCAGAGGCACAGGGAGCGGGTGATAATCCACCACCCCACTGGAAAAAAAACTCCAGAAAATCAGCAAAGGTTCATAGAAAACAAAGCCTAAAATCCATCAAACAACACTGCAAACGATTCACACAGAACAAGGGAGAACATACACTAGAAAACTCATTATAACCCATTACCACCACCAAGCCCCAAGCCAAGCCCCCAGCCCTGAACCAACTCCTCATCTCAATTCTGTAACTGATGAATAACCCATGATGAATCAATAAACCTGGAAGGAGGGGGGAGGGAATCAGGAAGCCACCAGGGGTCCTTCAGAAAAAGGCCTGCTTGATACCTGCTTGATGGGGTTCAGGGAGTAGTAGTTCTCCCCAAGCCATGCCCAAGGCCAGGCTTGACTTATGAGAGCTTGGTTCAACAGACTGTTGCCTGGATTGGTATTTTATTACATTTTATGCTGGGTTTCTGGAGAGAGCCTCTCCAGTGGCTCTCTGAAGTTAACTAACCGTAGAGAACGAGAACGGGACTTACCAGGAGAGATGGCAGATACTAGGATGAAGAAGAGAAACCAGGCGAGGAGACATGGCCCAAAGAAACACATGACGAACTGGGACCAGAAACACTGAGTAAATACCTGACTGCCAGAACCCTCTTAGAAAGCCAAAACCTGAGCCTGAATAACAGTCCTAGGAAATGTTTTAGAGTGTGGCCAAAGCTGTGTATCTGAGAACATAAGGCTTAAGGGGGTAGACAGCAGGCTGGCTAGAAAATGACACTGCAGATGATTTGAGAAATGCATGCCTTAGAATCAGGGACAAAGGAAACGGGATCAACCAACACGATATCCACCAAGAAAGAACTGGTGGCTCACATGTAGCAACAAAGAATTGCCACTGTATACAACAAATGATGCACCCCGGATGAACCAACCAAGCATCAATCATCAATCCAGGACCCCTCTGGAGGCTCGCTGACTCATTCTTCACCAGAAAAGGAGAAGGTTGCCAAGTAAGAAACCACCCACCAGGTCCAAAGGAACAGAATTCATGCCTCTGGACGAATTCTGTTCCTCCAAAGGCGAAGTTCTTTATCCTCCATATCCTCCAATGACCGTTTGTTTTAAATTATTGTTACAAGTATTTGCTAATCTAACTAATAACAGCAATTTGAAAAAACACTAATATTATTCATTTAATTTTACTGCAATGTTTCTGGTACTCTCAAAGATCCAGATAAATGGGATAAACCATCTAGAAACTGTCTGGACAATTGTTTACTCTGCACCCTTCCTCTAAATATAACAGGCATAACAAACTGTGCCCCCCTTTCTCTAAATATAATAGGCATAACAAACCGTGCACCCTTTCTCTAAAAATAATGGACGTAAACTGTGCACCCTTCCTCTAAAAATAAGAGGCATAAATTAAGAAGTGAAACATTTTAACAAATGTTTACATTCATCCTTCCTTACATTTATAAAAGCTAATAGCCAGGAATTTTGCATAAGTAGAGTAAAACTGATAATCACATTTAGAATGAATGCTTTAAGAAACTAAAGATGGAATATGTGCAAAGAATGCCATGTGGTGAAGGCTGCAAGGAGCCAGGCACAGGGGAGACTATGCCTGAGTACATTATGTTATAGCGTTGAAAAGTGCTGTTATGGGTGCTGTAGAAATACAGTAATAAGATTACCTGATGGGGTGAGAAGTATCGTTGTGCTGGGCTTGCCACTGTTCACAGGAAGGATACCTCCAGTTGCCAAAAATGCAGCGTAACTCACTGCTCCTAAAGATGGTGTTGCATCTGAAGCAGTGGTACCATCCATTAAATTTGCAGGCATAACACACTCAACTGGCTTAGTCAGCGATATCGACAAAGATGTTTTAAGAGAATCCGAGTCCCCATTTTCAAGCCGACCAGAATTCACAGCCTCCTGTAAAAATATATAAAAATCATACATCCTAAATTCTACACTGAATCATTTAAATTCTAAATAATTTGTTTCATATCTAGTCTTCAAACGGTACTACACTGCCAGTATTTAGAGTGGACTGTATAAAAAAAAATGTGTAAAACACGTTGACCAGGCCACACACTAGAAGGTGAAGATGTTTTGGTCCGTCCTGGACCATTCTCAAGTCGATTGTGAGAATGTCGATTCTCACAATCGACTTGAGAATGGTCCAGGACGGACCAAAATGTTGTTGTCCCTTCACCTTTTAGTGTGTGGTCTGGTCAACATACTTTAGCCACTTTATTGTGACTCATCACCTGCATTGGTAAAACACCTATGCCACATCACACTTCTTTCACCTTCACATTTATCTGTCACTATTAAAAAGCCTCCTTCAATAAATACCTTCTTGAACATTTTCTTCACAATTATGAGCCACACTTGTTTGATTATTCTCTTTAAATCTCACCATAAAAAAAGAGATACTGTTCAATATGTCTAAAACTCAGCAAATTGAAGAAGAAATACTCAATCATAACTTGCAATACAATATTATAAGTTTCTTCAAAGCAAAATTATTACTCACTACCCCACTAAATTCACATCCATATACAGAACATACATTCAGTACAATCATTTCTATAAACTATGACCTCTCAAAGAAGGGGTCATAGAGTGCATATAGTATTACTTCGAGGGGTCAGAGTGTATAAAGTAGTATATTTTGTAACAGTATTACAAAAGATTGTAAACAGCTTTTTCCTAGTTATAAAATTCAAAATACTGTATTAAGTTCCAGTCAATTTGACTTCAAATCTCAGAAGAGAACCAGTGTTACTCTTACAAATTAAGTGCTTCATAAAAGTTAATGCTATACCTAATTGGTTTCTTCGTTGATAAAAGAAAAATCTGTGATACTACAATCCATAATAACCTCCTACATACACTCCCTTAATAGTAATCGATCGTACCCCAACCACGGCCACAATATGTACTGACATCTACCATTATTATTCAACAAAAATCCAATTGCATCGCCAAGCAAACTCACACAGACTTGAATGTTGACCCGTATAGATTTGGTTGGTACAGACTGTGAGTGTGAATGTAAAATAAAGAGTTGGGTACAACATTAAAGAGAAAAAAAAAAAGGCCTTTAGTGTAGAAGTTCCCAGTGCACCAGTTCCACCAGAGACTTCTAGCAACTGACACCCTTGGCATCATAGCTCGATTATATCATTTTTAGTTACATGTATTTGATGATTTTTTTTAATAACCTCCTGGCTACATGTATTAATTACATTTGTAATTAACAGATTACATTCTATTAATTACATTAGATTACAGTCATTAGACCTGTTATAATCATGCATAGCTTTTGTTTTAAGGTTCAAGCCAATAAACAAAGGCATTCTCGAGATATCACACAGAAGCTACTGAAAACAAGAAAAATAGTACTCTGGTGAAAACAATATGATATCACCCTTATCTGGAAAACATAATTCTCACAAATTCTCATAAAACAACCTTTCAAGCAACAATGGTTATGCTAACATTTCTGTTCAGCATTTTATATATGTTATTACAAGACAAAAATTATTTCAATACTGTAGCTCTTAACTTGTATGTTTATTAGGTTTATGTATTTTATCAGATACAACAATACTATCATGCAAATTAGATACCATCTAAATCTATAAGATATAGACTTGACTGAAATGCTATACAAAACAATAGGCTGCATAAATTATACCAGTATATATAATAATTTGTATTCAAACCTTCATAAGCATTCTCTTTCTGAATAAGTATAATAAACACAACCCTGTCACTTGTATTACCTTTCAGTCACACTACATTGGCCAGATTGCCATTTAATCCAGTTCTACAATATGTTCTACTGTACTACAAATCTTCATCAGCCATTTCATGGATAATATTAAAATTTAAACTGTGTTAACTGATACCTTTAAAGAAACATTTGTAGCTCTTAAAATAAACTAGAAATTGACCATGCTTGTAGTCTTCCCCTTAGTAGTGAACTTAACTACAGTACATCCCCTCCCGTCTTGAGCTCTAATATACTGACCGCAGAGTCAACATAGAGCCGTCAATACCTTAGTGCTAATCACTACTTGTGTGTGTGTGTTCGCACAGCTTTATCAGCATGCCAAGTTTATCGTAAGTGACCATATTATTCATCGTCTGCTTACATTTAAAAGATCGAATCATTTTAAAATGCACTAAATGTCCATCTCATTTGTTGTTGAGACATTGTTTGCATCCCCTCAAACCACATACTCCCATAATTAACTCATCATGAACCACTTTAAAGACAAAAGTCATTAGATATTCATATCTGAACTAACCAACCTGGCAATGTTTTTAGTGTCTTCAGTACCAGTTGAGTACTGCAGTAACTAAGATTTGTGCTACTATCACTGAATTTGTCTCAAGGCACAACCAAGATGAAACAATGGGACTTTGGCTGGGTTAAGTGGGATGATTTTTATTATTTTTTTTTTATTTTGCTCTCAGTACTTCTGGAACTCCCATCTCTACACTCATTAAATATCTCAACTGTGATAATGAAGGTGGGAATTACGTACAATACCAAGCTATAAAAACCCTTCCCTCATCAAGACAACTCACCTTATTAGTTAAATCCTCTTGTGATATAGCCATTAACAAAAAGAGATAACATTCAGAAATAGTCACCATACCTTTGAAAGCATAATGTTTACACAAATTCATGAAATACAGTACAGTACATGTAATGGTAAACAATCTGATTAGTTTAAATCTTTAAAATATACAGTCCTCTTATATATGCAATCCATTTTCTCAAACTGTTTCTAAAAGTAATACTGTATGAAATACAAGGGGAGGGGGGGGGAAACTCTCCAAACCTAATAAATAATAGACTAAATGTACAGCGTATGTGATACAATATTCACCAAATTGAATGGAAAGAATGAGGTTCAATAGTCCCTGACTGCTTGTTGAAGCAACAGAAGTAAAAGTGGGCATGACTGACTGTAATATTGGCAGATGTAAAAGCACAACAGTATATATAAATACTTAGTCAAATTGAAAAAAGGCAGGTGCACATAAAATAAGAAATACAACACTATGTCATGGCTTAGAACCCAAAAAAACGGACTGAAGGTTTTTATTTAAGCTTACAGAAATACTGTTTATAAGTAGAGATTATTTTCCTTAATATATATATACTTGGAATATAAGAACTAATAAGGAAAGCAGTATAAGTAGATCAGCTGGGAGGCGAAGTTAAACCTTAAAATACTTTCATTTTAAAGACTAAGAAAGATTTAAAATTTTCCATAAATTATACTGTAAACAGTTTCTTGAATCATCACGACAACTTGGGCTTTTCTTGACACTAATTTTCATTCAGTGTGTCTAGTTAGATATCAGAAAATCATATACGTATCTGAAAATCATCCACAAGATATTTATTTAACCCTTAGACAGTGGTTATCGTAAACTGTTGATTCACAGGGTTAATGCGGTTACCATCATATGAAGATTTAAAAAATTATTGTTCGAGTTTTACATACATGATGCAAATATGGATGCAATGGAGTTAACCTTGACCAATGACAAAAAACCTGCTACCATCTCAATCTACAAATGCAGTTATCGTCATAAATGGTACTAGGGCAATGCGGTCATCATATGATAATTTAAACAATTATTGTCCGGGTTTCACGTATATGATGCAAATATGGATATAAAAAGCTCTCTGTGGATGTAAATAAAGAAAAACAATTGATAAAACAATCGGTGACACATCATAGGATATAATAGTAAGCCAGTAAGTGTCAGCATAGTCGAGCGGCAAGTCTTGCAGAGTACCTCCACCCAGTCAAACAATGAATATTTAATTGTTTTTTTATTACATTCTGTATACAAATTATTAATAATTCTATAATGAAAAATTATTTGTTGGAATTTGTATACTTTTTGTGCATAGGCAGGTATGAGCATTTCTCCGTAGCCACAGTAGTTTATTTGGAATCACTGATTTTCTGGCAGCCTTTCCTGGTGAGGTGGTGAATACAAATATCACTGCTCCCTATGTGTCTGTGAGGGGGAAGGGGGGGGGAGTATGGTTTCTGGCTCTGATACCCAGTAGCCTATACAACTCCATGGCTGATGCAGCCTAGTAGATTGTATCATCTCAGCATTCAGCTTCAGAGAGCTACTGGGACTCGCCCAGAAATTGGCGTTTCATTACATTCAACGCTGGATTTCTGCTGCTGTTATACTGTATATAGTATAACAGCTACCTAGTATATGATACAGTATATAGTTATTATACTGAATAGTATATAGGGGAGCAAAGAAGGCGGCACACAGAAAATTGTGTGAAAAAAGCTAGTGGAACATCTGGAGCAAAGGAACTTTGTGACAACACCAAAATGGTTTCAAGGATGGCAAGTCATGCCTCACAGGATTAAATGAATTATACAATCAGGCAACAAGCATCAGACAAGAAAGAGGGGAAGGGGGGGGGGGCAAACTGCATATTTCTGGATTGCCAGAAAGCCTTTGACACAGTTCCACACCAGAGACTAGTGAGAAAGCTAGAGATGCAGCCAGGAGTGAAAGGGAAGGTACTCCATTGGATAAGGGAGTACCTAAGTAACAGAAGACAGCGAGTCAGGGAGCCGGTCGGCCGAGCGGACAGCACGCTGGACTTGTGATCCTGTGGTCCTGGGTTCGATCCCAGGCGCCGGTGAGAAACAATGGGCAGAGTTTCTTTCACCCTATGCCCCTGTTACCTAGCAGTAAAATAGGTACCTGGGTGTTAGTCAGCTGTCACGGGCTGCTTCCTGGGGGTGGAGGCCTGGTCGAGGACCGGGCCGCGGGGACACTAAAAAAGCCCCGAAATCATCTCAAGATAACCTCAAGATAACCTCACTGTGAGGGGTGAGATCTCAGATTGGCGAGACGTTACCAGTGGAGTCCCGCAGGGTTCAGTCCTTGGACCCATACTGTTTCTTATATATGTAAATGATCTTCCAGATGGTATAGAATCATTCCTCTCATTGTTTGCTGATGATGCAAAAATTATGAGGAGAATTAAGACGGAAGAAGACAGTATGAGGCTACAAGATGACCTAGACAGACTGAAAGAATAGTCCAACAAATGGCTACTATGGTTCAACCCGAGTAAATGTAAGGTAATGAAACTAGGCAGTGGAAACAGGAGGCCAGACACAGGATACCGAATGGGGAAGGAAGTCCTTCATGAAACGGACAGAGAAAGATCTGGGAGTTGATATCACACCAAACCTGTCTCCTGAAGCCCACATCAAAAGAATAACATCTGCAGCATATGCGAGGCTGGCTAACATCTGAACTGCCTTTAGGAACTTGTGTAAGGAATCATTCAGAACCTTGTATACCACATATGTAAGACCAATCCTGGAGTATGTGGCAAGGCATGTAGCTCGTACCTTGTCAAGAACAAGGCGAAGCTTGAAAAAGTTCAGAGGTATGCCACTAGGCTGGTCCCAGAACTAAGAGGCATGAGTTACGAGGAAAGGCTGCGGGAAATGCACCTCACGACACTGGAAGACACAAGAGTAAGGGGAGACATGATCATTACCTACAAAATTATCAGAGGAATTGACAGGGTAGATAAAGATAAACTGTTTAACACAGGTGGTACGTAAACAAGGGGGACACAGGTGTAAACTGAGTACCCAAATGAACTACAGGGACGTTAGAAAGAACTTTTTCAGCGTCAGTAGTTAACAAATGGAATGCATTAGGCAGTAATGTGGTGGAGGCTGACTCTTGCACAGTTTCAAGTGTAGATATGATAGAGCCCAGTAGGCTCAGGAATCTGTACACCAGTTGATTGACAGTTGAGAGGCGGGACCAAAGAGCCAGAGCACAACCCCCGCAAGCACAACTAGGTGAGTACAGGCCTGCTGAGCATGTGCCTCCTCCTTTGCTCCTTTATATTAGGGTAAGGAAGGGTAAAGAACCCAAAAATCAGTCTAAGAAAATTGGTAATTATCCTCACAGAAAGAAAGCAACAAGGTCTGCGAAGAATTCAACAGGAGACTCCAAGGTTTAGGACAAAACCAGATTGGTGCTAGGCAAGTAGAAACTACTGAAAGCAACATTGTAGTTAATAAAAATCAAAGAGAGATACCTGTTGAAATTAGTTGAAAGTACAGCAGAGGGACCAGACCAGATACTGTCACAGCTACTGAAGCATACAACAGAGATACTCTGCGATCACCTTATTAAGAAAAAACACTGAGCTACACTGCCAACCATAACCAAACATGTGTTAGTATCAAATTGCCTGGAAATTGACAAGGCTTTATCATGATATTGCATGTTAAAAAAAAAATGTTGCCATTGGACTACATTGCTTAATTTTAATAGCATCAATACATTCAACCCAAACTGAAGAATCTTAAATACCAATTCAATAGGATGAGGTACTTCAAGCATTTTACAAAACCTGCTGGAAAATGACACACACACAATTTAACAAGATTAATCCACAAGGTCTTCCTACAAAAGCCATCTAATGCAGTCTATATTGCTTATATGTTCATAATAGTATACTGTACTCACCATAATGGACTCCACCTCATCCAGGTCCTCCATTTCATCTTTGACGTGACAGTCTCCATTCATTATTTTCACTCTTATATTTTTTAATTCTTTATTATTTTTTTCCGAAAGGTTGATAGGTCCCTTCTCATTTTCCTTGTCACTGCTAAAAAAAAAAAAATATATTTTTACTTACAAAATTTAGAAAAAAGCCTAATTTGCAAAGTACCCAAAGTTTCTTTTGGTTGTTAAATCATACCAATTCTGAAAACAAATATTGAAAGAAGCAACATGGAATGTTGTGTCAAAGCTCAAATTTAGCTACTGACCTTCTCACCCTCTAAGTTACACTACATAGCCCCCCCCCCCACATAATAAAGTCCCAAAAATATATGTATCACATGTGCAAGAAACACCAACTCCTCCAATGTTAACCCTTAAGGTGCAGCTATCCTTATATATTGATTCATTCACTGGATAATGCAGCTATCTTCGCATAATGATTTTATATATTATTGTTTGTTTTTTACACCAATGACACTAACATTGATATGATATCTCTATATGGAAGAAATGGAGCTTACCTAGACCCATGTAAAAATGCTGCTTTTGTTTCATTATTGCTTACTACGTAAATGTGGTCAAGAAAAATTTACAAGTTGAAAGGGAAACTACACTGAGGCAAGGAAAGAAAAGCCAAAGCACAGTCAAGAGACCTGGAGGGTTCAGGTGAAGCCTGAGCAGGCTACAGGTGGAAGAACGCACGAGACAACTTGCGGAACAGTGCCGCGGAAGTGACGACACCGAAAGCAAGCAACAGTGGCTCTGCCAAAGCCAAATGATATGAGACGACAGCACTGTATTTTGCATAAAATGCCGATCAAGAAGTATTCAACATAAAAAGGAGAGAACAGAATGAACCAAAATTGAAGAGAAGTGACAAAGTGACAAATAGCAGCAAAAAGAGCACCGAGTCACTATGAATACTGTTGCTCATACTGTCATCATGCTCATACGCTCATACTGTCGCTATGAAGAAAGGAGCAGGTGAGAGACCAACAAACCCACCACCTGCACACCATTCAAATAGTGATAGATGCGCTTCAGGAAATCCAGGAACACATTGAGCACAAGAGAAGTTCGCACAGTGATGTACATCACTGGGCCGATCTGTTGGAAGAAGTGGAGGCACAGAAAAATGCCCGGGTTTGGACACTGAGCTAGAAGCACTGGAAACTAAGGTTGGACCAACCACCAGGGTGCCAAAATGATCACCCTCCCAGAGTAAGCATCCAGACTGGCCAGCACACAGAGCAACAATTGAACCAGGGAAGAGGTAAATGTACCTCCACAACTAGTCTAGTTGAAAGGCATCCACCATGAAAGCCTCGCAGTCAGGGAACGGAGTCACATAGGAGGGAAGGTGCTGGTTCCATGCCAACACAAAAGAGGTCCACCTTGAGTAACTAGTAAATCTCGCAATTCCAGGAAGGACGCGTCTTTGATGAGCCACTCCACGGAGATGGGTCGAAAGCAAGACAACCTATCCATGAGGATGTTGGACACACCTTGCACAAGCTGGAATCAAAACATGCACATGAGGTTGCACTAAATTGGTAAACCCAACAACCCAATTTAAATTGGTAAATAACCCAACAAAGCAAATGGCCCTCAGAGGACAAGCAAGTCTGAGGAAGGCTGGCACTTTGCTTGAAGCTTTAGGGCTCGCTCATGAGCTGATGACTGAAAGCACTGCAAGTTGGTGTGGTGACACTAACATCAGCAGCAGAACGACCTTAGGAGCCAGATAGAAACCTGATGGACAAAATTGGTTCTAACGAGTTTCAAGCTCGAGTGAATCCCTTGTTCCATGCAACTCGTTTGCAGTAGTAGTCTGGCGTGTTTTTCATTTTCTGTGCACCCTCCAGTTGTCTGTAAAGCTGCACCGACTTTCTGGACGCTTTTTTGGGTGAGAATAGCAAATTGCCGTTAGCTCTCTGTGCCTCTGTGAGGAGGCCAGGTTCTGGCTCTGGTCCCCAATAAGCCAAACAGAACTCCCCTGCAAATCTCCACAACTGCTATTGCAAAGTTATGGTTCTTAGGGGCATATCATCATTCAAATCAGTTGGCTTCCAAGACCGGTGTTCTACAATACTGTTCATTCCAATACAGTAACAAAACTGAGACCATAACAGTGCTCTTGCCTCTACAATAAAAAATGACCCAAGAGCCATAAACATAATAAAAATCAACTGCTGGTATTGATCAAAGCTGTCTAACAATAAAAATAAGGTATCTTTTATGATCACATATAAGTATTGTCAATTTGATATTAAAGGATGGAACTCAAGAAATTGAACAAAAATGAAACCAAATTAACAAAAGACAATACAGTAATTGCTATGGGGATACACTGCCCTATTTTAATGGCAGCCACACTTTCTTGCTCAAACACAACTTTAGGTCAGTATTTAATGTATCATGTCAATATACAGAAGGGTTTGATATTGGACAGAAACCTGTTAATAAGAAGAGGTTAAGTAGAATTAAACCATGATGAGTCCCTACTGAGAATACTTAAAAATGATCTATTCACCTTGTGTCATTGATGGGAGGAACATCAACAGGTGTGGCTGCAAGGACTTCCTGAATATGGGATGAACTGGTAACTGGAACTGTTGCATTATTACTATTTTTGGAAGGGGAAAATGATCCTTTGCTTTCAGTTAAGGATCCTTCCACAGTTTCACTATTATTGCATTTTCCCTGTTGCAAATCTGACGAGTCAGTACGTTGTCTTTTGGAAGGGGGAGCATCACTGTCATACGAGGAATCACCCTCACTTTCTATGTCTTTCTTAGATGTCTGAATTTCAGAGATTTTTAAGTCATCATCTTCCTCATCTTCTTCTTCATCCTCAAAGTCGTCTTCATCACTATCATCTTCTCCACCAATCTAGTGAAACAAAAACTTGTAACATAAGGCTGTGACATATATGTATAAGTGCCAGAGGCGTAAAGCTATTCAGCTTCAGCACTTTGCAAGAAATACTGTAGATACAACCCAAGGCACATAAGACAAAATACAAGAGTGAGTATAGTTGGTAATAAAATGAGTATAGATGATGGCGGTACTCAATGTCTCTAAGCAAGGAAGGTCTTATATGAAGGTTTCACAGAATTAAGTTTTTAACACAAATACAGTATTTATACCATGAGTAAAAATAACCATCATTGAATGTAATGAAACTGCCCTTTCTTGTGGTTCCTTGTTGAGTCAACGTTACTAGCTAAACATTACTAGCTACATGGAAAGCTCTACCCAATTCCAGAATCACCATGACCAAAAGAAAAACAAAAACCTGAAAAAGCAAACTCAGACTGAAGGAGCAATAGAAAACCAAGAAGAGGAGAGAAAACCAAAAACTTTGCCAAAAACCAAGAAAGCTTAGGAGGAGCATGCATGCCAGAGACAAAAAACACCCAAGACAACTTGCAAAACACGACCATCTGTACCAAAATGCAAACGACATTGGCACCACCAAAGCCAAACAATACAAGACAATTAGGCACGAGAATCTGGTCAAGAAACAAGCAGAACCTAAAGAACAACACAACCTGAACAAAAACCAAAGACGACAGAGGGACAGAAAAAGGCACAATGGACCAAGCGAGTGGAAGGGAAAGTCTCACCTTCCTCCATCAGGAAAAGCGACTATGTTCTGTTGGATATCAAATATGTCATTCATTACAATCTAGAATAGTAGTAAAATGAAACAGATGAAAAAATTTATTTCAAGAGACATGGGTAAGGGAAACTTAAGAAGTTTTTAAATGAATTTGAATGGAAAGATATATTGTGAGGGAAGCCCTGTTAGGCAAGAAGATAAATGAGATGTATGCCAAATATTGAGAGATATATGATGAAGGCACAACAAAATTTATACCAAAACAAAGGTGGAAAACTAGAAAACCCGACTGGTTCAACAGAAAATGTGAGGGGGGGACCAAAAGACAAAATCAGAATTAATATAGGAAAAGGCCTAACCCTGAAACATATCAGCAATACATACGCTTACTGCCCGAAATGCTATGCGTGTTAGTATGTATGTATGGTGGATATGTATCAACCCAACAATATAAACAATCAAATCTCTCAAAATACAGTGGTACCTCGCATAACGAATTTAATCCGTTCCATGTTCGTCATGTGAAACGGACGTCATACAAAACGAGTGTCCCCCATGTAACCAGTGTGATGCACTGTGTTTATTGTGAAATTTCCCTAGTGTGCATGACATCAAATGTTCCCCAAAATATAATTTTTCTTTGTAAAATGATAAATTACCGTCCCTGAACATGTCTATGTAAAAATAATTACCAAATTCCACTTACTTTGGCTGTGAGGGCGTGGACAAGGTGCGCTTTGACGTCATCAGGGCCTGGTCGCCCGTGTGTGAAGCTCCCAGACACGGTCGCGCAGGCCACTCAAGCACCGCGTGTTGCCACAAATATATTTTCAAATATTTTTTCTATGCATTTCCAATGCGGTTTTATTTGTTTCTTTTATCGTATATGATGCATATTTGTGACCTTTACAATATGTATACAGTAGAATGTTCATATTTTTCCATGAAACTGTGATACATGTGTCAGTAATGTGTCCACAATAAATGTTTATTGTCACAATATTACGTGGTAAAAATTCACTAATATTACAATATGTACAGTTTCATATACTATTTACACAGTAACACACTGTATTACACAGTACTTTGGAGGTGCATAATAGTCAACGAAGTAGTCCATGGTACACAGCGCGACTTTGCTCTCCTTGCACCAGCTACAGATAGATTTTTGTTTCCCGTTTCATCGTTCTGTGTGCTTGCAAATAACGCACTCGCATGCACCCTTGGCTTTAGTACTTGTAGGTGGTATGTAGCCAAGCTTGTAAAGCATAAAGTAGTATTGAAACGATTATAGGAAAAGCTCAATTTGTAAGGTAGTCTTGAAAAAATCTCTTTGTAAGGTCCCACACAGGAAGAGATTCAGCTAGCCTCAAAGAGTGTCCATCAGTCAGGAAGAGATTCAGCTAGCCTCAAAGAGTGTCCATCAGTCAGGAAAAGATTCAGGTATTCTTGAAAATATCAATGAATATCACCACCATGGAAGCCGCTAACACTGTTAATCTATGCTACTTGTATCAGATGCATCATCACTGAACGCAGAAAATGATTCATCTATGTATCATCTATATACATTTCAGATGGCAAGGGTGGGGCTCAGAGCTACACCTGGATACGCTCGCTGTATCATCCTCATAGGTGCTGTATCACTGGCATCCGACCGTTGTGTTAAGCCCTTATTACGCCTAGCTTCACCAATGTTATGACCCTTATGTTCTTCAAACAATAGGGTCTGAATTGCACTGACTGAGCACAGTCTTTCAACACCGTGTGGGACAGGTGTTTGAGAGCCAGAGGCGCGTGTGCCACAAATGGTTGCTCACGCACTACTAACCCAGCCAGCAGCCCTTGCCTTTCATATTCGTTATAGCAAAAGGTTCGTTCAGTGTTTGTTGGGTAGGCTGCTCCAGTATGACAATCTTTGTTTCAAATGTGTTCCATTTGTTTTGTATTTGTCACTTACGTCTCAATAATGGAGCAGCCTACCCGACAAACACTGAACGAACCTTTATGACATTTGTCCATTTTTCAAATTGTTTCAACAGTTCTTTTATTTTTCGTTTATTTTTTTTTTTTTTAAAGAAACATGGAGCAGCCGACCTGTAGACCGCGGAACGAACCTTTTTGACATTTGTACTGGTTTTCAAAATTCTTCCTTTTTTTTTATTATTTTCGTTTTTTGTATGTAAGAAACATGGAGCAGCCTACCTGCCGACCACCGAACGAACCTTTTGCTATAAGACAAATGAAAAATAAATATTGAACACATTTGAAGAAAGGAAAATGTCATAATGGTTTATTCAGTGTATGTAAGGTAGGCTTCTCCATTATTGAGACGCAAATGACAAATAAAAAACAAATGGAACACATTTGAAACAAAGATTGTTATAATGGAGCAGCCTACCTGCCGAACACCGAACGAACTTTTTTGACATTTGTTGTATATCAGACATTTCATTTCATTTTTCCTACAAAAACGTCAATGCTTTGCAACATCTCAGTAGTCACCCTTTTATATCCCAGCATCATTAGCATCTTTAAACAAGAACAACATAATTTATGTGCATCGTCGGAGGCATCTAAGAATGTGCAAGAAGCAGCGCGACCCCACCATGTGGTGTTGACGTTACACAAACCAGCGTTCGTCATACGGGACGATTTGACGCCGATCAGGCCGTTCGTTACCCAAAATATTCGTCTTTTGGGGCAATCGTTATGCGAGGTAGCACTGTATTGTAAGCATAGGCTTGTTCACCGCACCCCACCCACTCATTTGTGTATGACTGGGGCTTGTGCTGTCCAGTGGTTAGAGCAATCAGTTCTGGAGCAGCTGCACACACAAAACATTCCCAACCCAGAATCAGGAAGGGAGTGGGGGGGAATCAGGGAGCCATTGGAGCTGATCCACGAAGCATCCACCAAGACTAAATCAGTGGTACGAAGGTAGTGTTAGAGAGCTGTCACCAGGCACAGAACATGATGCTTCCCCGGTCTAACCAACCTTGCAACGATAACCAAACAACCCTTCCAGAAGCCAGATGAGTCAAAGTGCCCACCAGGGCCAATAGGAAAAAAATCCCTGCCTCTGGATGAGACAGCGATATTCTCCAACCCTACAGCTGGAGGCAAGCGCCAACAGAGAGAACTTTAAAAAAAAAAAAAAATTCGGACTGAAGGAGACACCGGAAACCTAGCAGAGGAAAGAAAATTGAGAGTGGTCCAAGTGGGCTCAAGCAGCACATGAACAGACTGGAAGTGAAACAATTCATGATAATGTTTTCAAAACAGCATCAAGGACACATCAATGCCTAATGTAAGCAGCAGCGGCTCCGCCAGTGCGGACCAATAAGAGGCGACAATATTCAGCATGAAATACTGTACTGAACAAGAAATAATTGATAGGAATAAAAGAACCACACACACAAACTGAAGAGCAATGACAGAGATGGGAAGTGGTGAAGAGAGCACCAAGAAACCTCATACTGCTGCCAAAAAAAACAAAGGCAGGTGGGACATAATCAAACCAGCCAACTGCTTGCCATAGAGATGGTGGTAATGAAACATCAAAAGAACCAGACACAAAGCGCTGAAGAACTAAAACCAGCAAAGCAAGTTATTTGACCGATCTTCTGAAAGAGGTGGAGGCATGGAGAAATGCCTGTGTTTGGAAACTGAGCAAGCAGCACTTGAAACCTAGTCTGAGTCAGCCACCAAGGAGCCAGGAAAGACCACCTATTCCTGGAAGGACTCCAACCTGGCCAGTATTTGGAGCAACAGCCGGATTGAGTGAAATAGGGATAAGGTCCCCCATCTTGACCAGTCCAGCTGAAAGGTATCCACTGTGAGGGCATTGCAATCAGGGACTGGAGCCACATATAAGGAAGGCACCAATTTGAAGCCCAAGCAGAGAGAGATCTACATCAGGGTGCCTAAACGTCTCTCAAAGCCACAGGAGGGAGGCAGTGTCGACAGCCCACTCAATGGAGATAGAAAGGAACTGGGACACACCAATTGTGAGAGCACTGGACACTCTCTAAACATGAACCATGCAGAGAACCAGACGCCAAGAATCAAGCAGAAGAGCTACTCGCGGTGCCCAGTTCCAAAGGGCAACAGACCAAAGCAAGCCCCACCGGTTCAGACAATGGACCACTGGGGTACAGTTCGAAAGAAGCTGGAGCATGGAGTCCAGAGGTATGCAAATACAGCACTCATGGTATGCCACACAGCCACAAACTCCTGCACCGTACTGTGTCAAACCAAATGGTGAAATAATGATAAACTATAACACAATATGACATTCTCTCAACACCATGATCATCAAATTCAAGAATTTTGTCCTCTCCATCAGCAATAAAACTGTTCTGTAGACAATATACAATACAACATAAATGTGGTTACATAGAACAAACTTATCGTACCTGGGTGCTGGCTAGTGCAGAAGTGACATGGGTTAAACCAGTGACATTGAGATTTGAGGCAGCATTCAAGAGATTTGGAAGGTGATCCTCTTCAACCACCACCTCTCCACAGTACATAAAATGTAGTAATGCCACCACTTCTCTCCAGCCCAATCCATCTAATATAATAATAGGATGGTCACATGGATGGTCCTGCAACAATATAATTAAATGATAACAAAACGAAGAGCTTAAATTATTATTTTACTTTCAACAATCATTTTTATATAAATCACAAGTTATGTAAGAACTACTGAAATCTTAATTTAAGCAATTAATCATTTGCCAATTACAGGAACTGACAATTTTTCCAAATTAATTTCATAATTGATAGACTACATTCTTGGGTATACATATGAATATAAAATAATATAAATACTGTAATGAAGTTTAAACCTATACTGAAAAGAAAAATAAGAGGAAAAATAATAATTCAATGGAAAAAAAGTTAATTCTCACACTTAATTTGTATATTTTAATTTTAACCAATTATATCATATGCTGCATACAGTATTACCATGTAGCACTGTACTGTATATACACAATATTACACGTTCAGTACTTCACAAATGAAAGAGATTCATTGAAGCAATAGCACACAAGACAACTTTGCATTTTGTGCACACTGGAACATCATGATTTTCACTTCTGTCTTCTTTGTGTGTGATGGCAGACAATACACTCACTCACACCATTTATAAGTCATCACAACACTTTCTCCCTCGACAGACTTTACAAGCAACTGCAACAGAGCCGGACCTAAATTACGGATTGGTGGTTTCCTGCCCGATATCTGCAAATATGTGCTAAAACACTTCAGCATGTTATGTCCACAAGGTGAAAAACAGTTTTCTGGTCGACTTAACAGTTTTCTGGTCGACTTAACAGTTTTCCGTACACATTCCAGAGTGCCTGTCATCATGTCACATTTATCCACCAATCTCATTTATACATACTGTAATCCATGATACAATTTGGTTTATATAATTTATTTTATGTTTCATAGTTCTGTTTGCTACTGTCTACAGTTTCACTAGTGGGAATCATTGTCAACACATTCACTTTTCCCCCCGTTTCCAATGCACTGGTAAAATTTTGTCACTTTCTCTCAGCTGACATTCACCTAAGTCCATGTATGAACCAAACTTGTGTTTCATTTTCCATTCTAATTTGTGGTCTTGGTATACATCCTTTAAGTTTTGAAGGATAAAGACTTCAGAAATAGAGACGAAATAAAATGTAATTTATTATTACTGTATTATAAAACTATAATTTTCTATTGAGTACACCCAAAATGTATTCTCTTCACAAACTACATATTCTGTTTCACATATGAACAAAATCACAAGAAATCCTTACAAAAAGCATACCTTTAGCACTTTCCGGAAATATGCACTGCAGGCAGACAACACCAATTTATGAGCGCGGATGGTGCGTCCTTCGCATGCCACAGTTACATCCAAAAAGTCTTCATCATAACGTAATGATTCAAGCGCTGAAGTCACCGAGTCACTATAGTTATGCCACCGCAGCCAACACCTTCGTGGCTCCCCCATCCTATTAAAAATAAAGAGCAACTTAGTTACCTGATCCACAACATTTTTTTTCAGTTAACATACAAAGGTAAGAGAGAATGAATGCTTGAAATTTTAAGTGACAGCTCATAAGAATCACTGCAGGTCGCTCCAAGCAACAGCCTGTTGGACCAAGTTATCACAAGTCGAACCTGACCTCAGGCCAGGCTCGGGGGAGTACAAGAATTCCCGAAACCCCTCTCCAGGTATGCTCCAGGGTGCTGCTATGGATGTAGTCTGAGTGTGACAGTGACGGGTCAACGTGATGCTGCAATATGTAAGGAAGTGTGAAGAAATAGAATATGGAAGGGGTATTAAATGATATAGCATCTGTATTCCTTTTACTATTTACACATCTATGACTTCCAGGCTGAAGATGCTTCCTTAGATGACCTTAGATGCTTCCTAGAGGGCTATAACAGAACTCATGAATGCCACAGGAGATATTTGATATTCCAAGAGTCTGCACAATATACGCAGACTTAAAAATTTGTAGTTTGTAACTCAAGAAAGGCAGAAATACCTAATTAGCATCATGTAACAAATTTCTCATTTCTTCACCCTAAATAAACATATTTATCTTTGCTGTTATTGTGAATACTGTACTAAATACTGTATATATCTATGCTGTTACTAAACTGTAGTTATCTTTAAAGATACAGAATTCAAAATACAAGAGTTCTCTGTTTTTCATCAGTAACTATCATTTTAAACACTGCATCATTTGCAAAAAAAATTTAATAATTTATATATATCGGCTTATGTCTCTGGACACACTATTGCTAGTCTCCAGATATTGAGACTTATCATCCATTTGAAGGGGAATTTCTTGTGTGTAACTGTGTATATTATATCTACTGGGGTATCTTCATTTCCATACTAGGATACAACACTCCTAGAATGACAAATTTTACCAGGATGTTCATCCCTGTGGGTGTCCGGAGACCAGCATTCTTGGGTGCCAGACACACATGGTAATTATCCCAAAGTTCAGTAACTCATTTCTTGGGAACTGCTGAGCATTAAGATCTAATATCATGTACAGTATATGGTTCCAGAATTAGTCAGTACTTTTTGGTGGTGTTTTCATGTTGTTTGGCAACTGGTTTTCTTTCCTCCCATACATTTCATTAGAAACCGCACAACCTTCTTCAACAACTTATTAGTCAGGCACTACTGATCACTAATATCCTATATTATTATGCGAGATAGCAAAGTGTTTGGCAAAGATCAGTTGTGATTTAACTGATGTGGAGCTACAGTACAGCCTTGGTTTTGTGTCTGGAAACTAAGAAGTGCATTATTAACCATAAAGCAATTTTCAAGCTGTTCATTCTAGAGTTGTACTAAAGTAAGTAAGTAATTATCAAAAGAAGGCAGAGTTGTACTAAAGCCTAATGACTGTACATCCTCCTAAAACAAATGAGCACAAACAAGTTCATAGCAAGAAAAACACGAATTTTTTTTTTAAGATTTACTGTATATACTAACTCGTGGAAAAATTAACAAAATATTATCTTTAGATACCTTTCATATTTCAGCATGTTTTCTGAGCATGTTCAAAGAGTTCCTCTCGCTTTCGGGTTCATTCTATGCACTTGTGCAGGCTACAGGTTTTTGTTGGTGCCACCGTCCAGAGACCAATAACTTTGTACCACTTATAAAGATCCTAAGAACAGTGCCAACATATTTTTGTGTTGGCGAGGCAAATGCAAAATACGGTGCCACAGGAGCTACAGTAATGGTGAGGAAGAAGAGGCAAGTTATGGTGCCACAGTGGTTCAGTGTTGGGGGGGGGTATGGGCTAGGCAGAGTTATGTAGTCACAGCAGACCAGTGTTGGCGAGGCAGAGGCGAGTTAGGCTACAGTGCCATAGTAATGTAGTGATGAGGAGATGGTTCAGGTCCCCCCTAAGTGTTGTGGGGTCTCGCCCCACCACCACCACTAACCTACACAACACTGCCTCTCTCAACACCACACATTACACCCTCTCTTCTCCACCCTTAACTCTCACATTTCACAGCCTGAATACAGAAAGACGGTCATCCAGCACACATTGTCTGCAGTTACCTGTGGTGCAACACGTCATATGCTTCAATACTGCGACATATTAGAAGAGAAGTTGTTAAACAGATCCTTCCCCCAGACCCCAGCTCCTCGGAGTGTTTACATGGTCGCTGTTTATTTAACCTCAGTTTCCAAGTTTTCCGCCTCTGCCTTATCATTTATACGGATAATACAAGGCCGTAAGGACTAGGAGTTTCCATGTAGAAGTCAAAACAGATACATTAGGGTGCCACAAACCTGCCACAAAGTGTTTGACCTCGCCTGACCTATCCCCAAGGTAAATAAGCAGGAAAAACACCTCGCGCCACCCTGTGTTCCCCAAAATTTCTTAGGTGAGCAGAGAGTCTGTAAAAAATGTTTGAAGTGATCAAAGTTACCCTTAAAATACATTTTACCAATCTTTGTTATTTTTACCTGTGATTATAAGTGTGTTTTTGCTTTTTTCTTTGTACTATGTTATTCTAAATGATTAAAAATGAAGTAAGTGCCTTAATATTGGATCGCAGCTAGCAGAGAGGAAACAATTTTTCAGGCGGGTGTTGAATGCTACTGTGTACAGCTCTATTATATCATCTAGCCCAATACACTTCTGAAAAAATGTAATAGTTATCAAATGGTTCGACATGAAATATTTTCTCTTAATGGTAAATTCATAATAAACGGATTTTGAAAGATTTCGGATAGGACTATAGCTGTTATGCATAATTACCTATAGTATGTATTCTGTTATTCTTCATAATGCAGTTGTTCTGACAATGGGCAATGGCTTGTACTTTGAGTGGGGGAGTCTGTATAAACAACTGGGCCTCTACCCTTCAGACCGAACTATTTGCCTTGATCCTTGAACTGAAATGTGTACAAGTCTCCAAACTTGATACATTAATTGTAAGTGACTCCTTATCATCCTTAAATGCTCTCAACTCTTTAAGACATAACTGTAACATGCTCGTGTCCGAAGCTAGACACAAATACAACAAAATTATTAAGGATGGTAACAGAGTCTATTTCATGTGGTCTCCATCTCATGTTTGCCTCCGAATGCATGATAGAGCTGATAAGTTAGCCAAAGAATCTGCCTTTAAAGGAGCCGTTGAATGTAACCTTGGATTGTCAATGAGCAATCTGAGAGCAGCAGTACACCGAGAACTTCAACAGGATCTTGTAGATCTGAGGCAAAGTGAAATTGACACCAGTAATTCCATCTATCATCATACTATCATGCAAAAGGAGCCACACATCTATGGATCATCCAATAAAATCAGCTAACTTCTAGATGTTACTACTGCTCGGCTTAGACTCGGTTACAAGTATCTCTGGGAATTCCCATTATCTGCTGATGTAGACCTGGCCAAATGTAAACTGTGTCAACAAAATTATTCGCACACCCTCCGTCACTATGTGATGGAGTGCGAAAAGATACGTGAATTTAGAGACAATTCTATAACCAATGTTCCAGCGATGTGTAAATATTTCATTCAAAATGATCTGCTACCAGAAATTTTAGCCAAATATCCCCAGTTTGCTAACTGTAGGTAGTAACTAAGTGATTGTACCTATCCACCGCTGCCTGGGGGGCGGTGTGCAGGACAAACATATAAATTGTGACACTAGCTCTCCACATATCATAGGATCTGGACACACAACATCTGGTCACCATTTGGTCCGGGAGACATCTCCCGTCACGCAGGGTGCAGTCGCACCTCCACAGATCTCCAGTATCTTCTATTGATACTGGTAATGGCTCAAAAGGGCCACCACTTACGGGCTATTTATGCCCGTGCCACCTTTTGGGTTGCTTCATCTTCATCTTAACACATTCATAAGGGAGACATCTCCCGTCATGCAGGGTGCATTCGCACCTCCACAGATCTCCAGTATCAGCTCTTGATACTGGTAATGGCTTAAAAGGGCCACCACTTTCGGGCTATTTATGCCCGTGCCACCTTTTGGGTTGCTTCATCTTCATCTTAACACATTCATAAGGGAGACATCTCCCGTCATGCAGGGTGCATTCGCACCTCCACAGATCTCTAGTATCAGCTCTTGATACTGGTAATGGCTTAAAAGGGCCACCACTTACGGGCTATTCATGCCCGTGCCACCTTTTGGGTGGCTTAATCTTCATCAATCAATCAATCAATCTCCACATATGTCAGTTGCTTAATTTAGAACCTGTACTTGAGGTCGATCTCGAACCTATTGTTGATGTGACGACTTATATTGAATTTTGTAACTAGCTCATCAAGATTGTAACTTGCTTAGTTAAATGAATTGTGGGGTTCAGTCCCTGAGCCCATTATGTGCCTCTGTAACCCTTTCCACTACCGCCCACAAGATGGGTATGGGGTGTATAATAAATGAACTTTTTTTTTTTTCTTTTTTTTGAGATATATACAAGAGTTGTTACATTCTTGTACAGCCACTAGTACGCGTAGCGTTTCGGGCAAGTCCTTAATCCTATGGTCCCTGAAATACGATCCCCTGCCGCGAAGAATCGTTTTTTCATCCAAGTACACATTTTACTGTTGCGTTAAACAGAGGCTACAGTTAAGGAATTGCGCCCAGTAAATCCTCCCCGGCCAGGATACGAACCCATGACATAGCGCTCGCGGAACGCCAGGCGAGTGTCTTACCACTACACCACGGAGTAAACTAACTGCATAACTAATGTAGTACCTGAATGCTATAATTATAGAGTACCTACAGTATTAAATCACATTTATTTAGGGAGTACTCAGAGTATTGATTTGAATCCTCTTCATAGTTCCTACTGATTTTCTAAATGATACATTGAGTTCTCAATGTACACTTGTGGTAGTTCACGAATACATTGTTGATATAATACACATTTAAACCGTGTAACTATCTTATCGAGACTTACTTAGCTAAATTAATTTTGGGGTTCAGTTCATGAGCCCATTATGTGCCTCTGTAACCTTTTCCACTACCGCCCACATGATGGGTGTATTGGGAGCATAATAAATTTATTAAACTAACTGATTTGGTAACATATGCATCAATAGTCTGTTCATTATTTTCATAAAATTAACACAACTAGCGAGAGTAGTTAGGCCTTGTACTAACATCTGAAGAGGGCATCTGAATTTATCTGAATGTACGTGATTTACGTGGTCACTATTTCTCTAGTGATTATCAACCAGGAAGAAATTTGGGTGTAGCAGAAACTTGAAGGAAATCTGGCGAGATGTAAATAAAGTAAGGGGCAAAAAAGCATAATTTTGTTGCACATCCTGACCCACAAGGAATTGCGAACTGTCTCGTAAATAAATGGGCGGAAGCTGCCAAACTTAGTTCATTGCCCTCTATAACGAGAGAGTCATTAGATTCTTGGAAAGATCTAAGAAAGGATTTTATACTTACAGCAGGCAACAGTGGAGATGTCACTTGCACAGATATTACCAGAGATGAACTAATAATGGCGATTAAAGTTGGGAAGTCTACCGTCCCTGGGGAGGATGGAGTAACTTATGAAATACCTAATGAACTTGCCATTATGAAGAAAAGCCCACTGTTAGACCTCTTTAATATTAGTTAAAAAGAGGGCAGTATTCCTAGTAAATGGAAAAAAGCTATGATTATCCCTATCCCTAAAGCCAATGGAGAGTACAGACCTATATCTTTAACCTCGTGTTATTGTAAAATGATGGAGAGGATAATTTTAAATAGACTTTTATATATGATAGGTGATCAGCTGTCTAGTAATTTGTTCGGGTTCCTCAGAGGTAAAGGTACCTCTGACTGTATTATTAAATGTCTAGCTAATAATGATTACTATAGAATTTTTATTGATTTACAAGGAGCTTTTGATAAAGCCAACAAAGAGGTTATCTTATATGAACTAGCTGGTCTTGGTGTTAAAGGGAGATTATTGCGCTAGCTAGGGGAAGGAGGAAATGTATATGTTTATCTCTCAGAATGTTTGGTAATATGTTTATTTGTGATGTGTGTCTATGTATGTATTAACACGTTGTACTGATTGGGGTGAGAATAGCTTGAGCTACCTCATCCCTTTGTGTGTATTTTACCTCAATAAACTTATTTCAATTTCAATTTCAATAGGGGATTATCTTCACGAAAGAAAGGCTCAGGTGTGGTATCAAGGTTGTGTGTCAGTTGTGAGATCTTTTGAACTCGGCACACCTCAGGGAGGAGTGTTGAGTCCCACCCTGTTTAATGTACTAATGAATAAGATAGCATCTGAGAGATACTCAAATGGGGTAACTCCTATCATATATGCCGATGATATTGTGTTTCAGTTCAAAGATATTTCAAAGGTTCAAACGGTGTTGGATAATTTCGGAAACCTGTGTCACCATATGGGACTGGTGGTTAATGAAGACAAAACTAAGTTTGAATGTAGAGGTCGGAGGCCCATTATATTGAAAATAAATGGTAAAAATATAGAGAGAGTTAATATATATAAATATATTTAGGAATATATATGTTGGATATACCCATGAGAGTTTGGAAGCTGAGATGAACAGACTGTTGGGTCAATGTCGGAAGAGATTACAACCTCTGAAGGCCTTGGCATGCTGTGGAAAGGGAGTGGGAGTCCCTGTGCTACGAATGAAGATTCCTTATTGATTTTGCTGCACCTGTCATTTCTTGTTTTGGTAAAGGTAGGATGGGCAAGTTGGAGAAGGTACAAAATGAAGCCACGAGAATTATCTTAGGATGCCCAAGAAGTGCTATGATTGAGATAATGAGGATGCAGTTGAATCTGAAGAGTACTGAGGATAGAATTTCAGAGATAAATGTCGCCTCTGCCATTAGATTGATGAGCGGTGGGGGAGCTAATGAATTAATCCTCTCGGTGTGAAAGTTTAAATTATGTAGTATGCCGCACGCCCACACCTTAGAACATTATGTATTAGAGTGTCAACTTATTGATAGCTATAGAAATAAGGAAATAAGTAGTGTACCACATCAAATTGTTTGGATGTGTGATATAAAAATAATGGTATGATAGACAGTATATTTAGGAGCTACAAGAATTTTGTCCCAAGAGTGTAACAGTTATATGCTGTGCTTACTATATTAACCTGCAATGTTAAATGGGATTCTTGTATTGTAGTTTGTGTATTTGTACTCACTGCATTTGTGCGCCCCTTAAGGGACTTGAAGTAGAGAGGGTAGAAATAGCCTAAGCTACTCTATCCCTTTAGATAGATGTATTTTTTTCTTGTCTCAATAAACATACTTGAACTTGAACTTAGTACTCTTTATTTTCTTCTCCGAGGCTATGGGTCCCGACAATTGCACCTGAGGTGGTACGAACCTGCGTCCGGGATGCTCCCGGACGCAGGTTCGAATCCTCGTCACGGCCCTTGTGGATTTGTTCATTTGATGTATCACGTTATGTGATCTCTGTGTGTAATGAGGTGGTACCCCTTTTAGGTTTAAAAAAAAATAAAAAAAATATTTATAACTATTTGTCTTTAATCAAATGTACCAATTATACTAATCTAAATGTAACTCACGAACTATATACTTTGCTATAAATAACTATTAAATTTACAAACTGGGGAAAATAATTCCATTTTAATTTTTCTACACATAGCTTTGAATGGGTGTGACTGTGATAGTTTTTTTTTTAGTTTAGGGGTAATTTATTATGCACCCTCTACCCATCCTGAAGGCAGTGGTGGAAAAGGTTGCACTCACATAATGGAGGTCAGAAACCGAACCCCCAAAATTCATTTAGCTAGGCAATTTTGAGTGGTGATAATGCATAGTGATGGGGTGGTAGGGGGCGCGTGTGTTGGTGGTGGAGGAAGGCGGCCCACAGTGGCTACATGGCTCCTTGTTTTGTTCACACACTGCGCATGCGCCTCGCACCACCGTAGCCACACGCGCAAACTAACCCCATCGTTTATTTGATATATTGTATGTATACAGTATATTATATATATATATAAAAAAGGTACAATGTGTTGTATGAAAGTACATATGTTGGTTATTAAGTGGTACATTCGTGCAAAGCCACAGGTTTCACGCAGGTCCTTAAATTAACAAATAAATGTAATGATAGGTAGTACATTGTAATAATTCTAATTCACATAATAAGAACAGAAAAATGCGATTAAAAATATACTAATGAAGTTGAATTTCCACATTGTAATATATTTCTGAGTTAGTAGCACAAGGTGGGATACTAAGAAGATGAGATTATACGTCCTGCTACCCTATTAATAATAATAATAGGCCAACAAACTTTGTAAAATCTCTTTATGTATGTACCTTTGCCTAAATAAAAATTATTATTATTATTATATAATAATAATAATAATAATAATAATTTTTATTTAGGTAAGGTACATACATAAAGAGATTTTACAAAGTTTGTTGGGTTAATAGATAGAGCTAGTACATACAATGCCTAAAGCCACTATTACGCAAAGCGTTTCGGGCAGGAAAAACATTAATGACTAAAGCTTAAAACTAATGGGTAAAAAGATTATGCCATGTGGAGGATTACAATGTGTATAGATGAAAAATGAACTATAAACTCATCTAATATCCCCATGTAACTGGATGATAGGGATTAAATAGGGAATAGTATAGTGTGAGAAGAGCAGAGTGGGGAATTTGGAGAGAATACCAACAGTTTCAGAGTTTAGTTTAGTTCATTTATTATGCACCCCATACCCATCTTGTGGGCGGTAGTGGAAAGGGTTACAGAGGCACATAATGGGCTCAGGGACTGAACCCCACAATTCATTTAGCTAAGCAAGTTACAATCTTGATGAGCTAGTTACAAAATTCAATTTCGGTGCTGGTTTATTCTGTGCTGTACGTGAACACCGCTGTCCCTAGTCTATGTTCACATATATATGTTCCCTTTATACGTAAACTGACGTTATATTAATTATATTAACATTAAAAGTAAATGAATAGAATTAATGAAGATTAAGCGATGTATATGTATTTTTTTGTAAGGAGGTAGGTGAGGGGAAGGAGGGAGGTGGCAAGACTGGAGGCGGCCGGGCGGCAGCAGCTCCCACTGGACGCCATCACACACTACACAACAAAATGTCGGAAGACGTAGAAGGCCCAGAAAAGATCAATTCAGCTCCAGGAGAGACTGTAAATACAGATGGAGATAACGATGGGGGTTCAGGACCGCCCATGTCTATGCGAGGAGGAAGAGGAGGCTTCAGGTGAGACGTAACTTCGTAATGATTGTTTTAAAGTTACCGGGATCGGGATGTGTGTGTGTGTGTGTGTGGGGGGGGGGGGGGATGGGATATCTTGTATGTTTTAATTTGTTTGTCTAGTGTTTAGAGCTTGATAGCCGTGCCATGGATGAGTAAAGCTTGCCAGTGGTTGGATTGTGAACGGTGGTATGGAGTAGTGTGATGAGCCCGTAGCCAGCATCCTTGAGCAAGGGGACGCCGCCAGTCCTCATACTCATATATGTCGATTTTAATACTTTATTCTGCTTGATTTTTTTTAATCAAGGAATTCTACGTTGGTGTATTTTCTGCTAGAAGTTTGCCTTTCAGGTGAAATGTGGCTGGTTCAGAAGTTATAGAGAGAATGAAGTCGAATCCTTTAATAGCTCAGTTTACTGTGATAGGTGTTTTAAGAAGACATGCACGCATCTATATAATGGGTTATTTGGTGTTTGTGAGGCAGGTCCTAGTTAGTAGAACCACGGTTCCACTGTACATGCATATATATTCACATGTACATTGCACATGTGAACATGAATGATCCTTTCCAAGAGATGGGTTATAAATTGAATATTCGTACACCATATCAAATTTTCCCATAAATGTGTTAATTTAATCTATTCCACACACCCAAAAATATTAACCTAAAATACATTTTATACAGAATACAGTAAATTACTCATTTTGTACTATACCTTACCTTTATTGAGGACTGGCTGGTGTACGGAATACAGTGAGGAGGAGAGGTATTAGTGTTTGGGAGTCCCCTTTTATTATAACATGAGGCAGGGATGACATTTCTGGGGTACACACACACCTAAGTTTTGCAGGCTTACCACTAAGCTGTGGCTTAGTGCTTAGTGTAGTGGCTTGCTGTGCATTTTCCCCTAAGAATCTGTCTATAGACAATTGTTTTTTTTTTCCTTACGTTTCAACACTTGTCTGTAGTGAGACATTGGTCATTAAAAAGGTTAATGCAACAGCCTGCTACAGATTTATTTGGGCGAGTCTTTTCAGCAAAACTTTGCAGTTCTTCCCATACTGCACACATTTTCTTAATGAGGAAAGAACATGCCCTACTGCTGATGAAATTTCCTTGGCTGTCTCTTCTTGCTGGTCCTTGCGAACGGCAAGGAGTTCTTCAGTGGTCAGTTCATTGCTGTGTTCCTCCTCCAACTCCACATCGACACCATCCAATTCCAAGCCTAATCTCAGGCCTAGAGAAACAATTTTCTCGACAAGAGGCACAGCAATTTCAGGTTCAAATTAGAATAACTTCAACATCCTCAAGAGTTTGTGTTCTTTGTTTCATTATTGGAAATAGCAACTCTTGATTTCCTGGGTGGAACAGAAATGGTTGGTCACACTCCCTTTCACCTTATGCCTCTGCTCACTTAACAGTAAATAGGTACGAGGGAGTTAAACAACTGAAATGACATCATTGATTCCGTGTGTGTGTGTGAGGAGGGGATTATCTGCTTGCAGCCATGTTATTGTGGCTTACTGTCTGCATTTGCTTTTAATACATTTTAATTTAGGTGTTTTTTCTTGGCTGGGATGATAATTCTCCAGTGACTGCCTACATGGCAGAACAACATGCTCAGAAATGCGATTTTCACAATTGCAAAGCTCATCTTGAGTTAGTCTTCCCTAACATTGAGTTTTCTGTTGTTGCTTATTTAATTCCAATGTCTCTGTCTTCTAAAAATCACTGACTAGGTACAAGTACCATATATGAGTTAGGCTTGACTTGTTTTATATAGGTGCTGGCATGCCTCGCTATGAGCGAGAGTTGATCTTGTACAGTTTAGTGTGATGCATGGTGCATATTCCATATTATACTTGCAGAGAGTCATTAGTGTAACAGGGTCAGTCCATGTCAGTTCACCCAGGTGGTTTTTGTCACCATTTCCGGTTCGTCAGGCAGGTGACTGGCATGGCTGTAAGGGAGGCAGCAGTCAAAAAAATTAGGTGACTGGCATGGCTGTAAGGGAGGCAGCAGTCAAAAAAATTAGGTGACTGACATGGCTGTAAGGGAGGCAGCAGTCAAAAAATTAGGTGACTGGCATGGCTGTAAGGGAGGCAGCAGTCAAAAAATTCATTCCAGTGAAGTGGGGGGGGGGTGATTTGCTGATTTGCATGTCAAATAATGTTAAGGTAAAAAATAAGAAATTAATGAGAGAAATAGGTTTGCCTTACTTACTGGTATGTGTTCAGTGATCCAGAGTTATGGCTCTTCAAAGTTTGGATATACCAGCAGTATGCTGTACTTGAGATCAATGGTTTCAGCTAAGGTTAGGTCCATCCAAATGAATGGAGCTCCTAAACGAAGAAAATATCAGATAAATTATTATATACTAATATACATTACTGTACACATTTATACCAATAAATGCTTTGAGTTTGAAAATAATCCAGGTTGGTTTCAAATAACCTTTCCAAATGTTATACAGTATTTAAAGTAAACATTTTTATTTGAACCCTGATTTGAAAATAATCCAGGTTGGTTTCAAATAACCTTTCCAAATGGTATACAGTATTTAAAGTAAACATTTTTATTTGAACCCTGATTTAAAGTATGCATAGGTTTGATAGCTGCTCAATACCTTAAAAATAGCATTTGAATAAACTGTAATTGCCATAGGAGCCAAGATACATTGTCTTGAAATAAGGCATGACCATGAAAAATTGACTCTGCAAAATTCGAGGTCACATATCTTGGAACCATTTTAACTACAGATGTGAGAGAAAATGTTCCCAAAATCTGGGTGAACTGACATGGAATGGCTAACAGGTACTGGTATGCTGTGTGATGTTATGAATATATGGAACATTTCTTGGAAGAGCTTTATTAGGTTTTAGTATTGATGCATGTGCATGATCTATTTGTTTGCACACGTCGTCTGTTTGATTGTCCCCATTTTGAATGCAGGTCAGTGTACTGGTATGTGCTCAGGTCTTCCTATTAAATATCTTTCAACCTTTTATACACTTAATTACTTTGATTGTGACAATGTACAATATTGTTAATAATCAAATGTAAACCTAATGTCTAGGATCCTTACCTAACCTAAGGTTTGTTAATATAGTTGACCATTATTTGTCCAGTATCAAAAACATTAGTCATTAAAATATATAAGTGTTAGATGTTTTGACCGAGGAGTGTCAACTTAAAATCAAATTACATGTTATGTTTTGTAGCATTTTTTATGTTAGACAAGTTTGTCATTTATTCACTCATTCATATTGAGTTGGGCATTATCCGTGAGTCTGGCTGGTCCATCTAGCTGCAATGACAATATCGAGTTAATGGAAAAAATCATATTAACCCTAAGCCTGCTGCAGCTACACATTTGACTGCATTGGTTAAAGGCGTGTGGAGTGTTGTGTTGTGCTGTTTGGCTATAGGTCTATGAAGTGAAAATAAACACTAGTGTGGGTGTCTGAAATGGATAACGTTTACAGAACCTAAAATGTACGAAACTTATCCATGAACCAATCCTACATTCAGTTAAAAATGCATAGATAAAACTGTACCTCATCTGTCTTTGCTACTCTTTCCTGAACTTAGTCCTTTAGAATAATTTGTTGGTTTAACATTACAGTACTGAAGTTAGAGGCATAAATAATATTTAAATTGGTTATTAACTCTTATGCTGTGCAATACATACTTAGGAGTTAGGAGCAACTGTCCTAGAATGGCACACGTCACAAATAGGCGATTGAGGGTCCTGCGCATGATTTAAATGTCCTGCGGCTACACGATGTTCCCATCAGCTTCCTCAGGGCTCTAGTAAAGAGGTGCCATTTAAAAAAAAAAATTGTGGGCAACATTCTTAAGTGAGAGCGCCTCAGTACTGAGTGAGCAACTAAGGCTGGCACACTCAGCATGAGAACAGCACTGCTGTTCATCTTGTGACCACAGCATCGCCTAAAAATGTCAAAATATATTTGTGTAACTGCTATTATTTAGCAATGCTAGTATTACAGAAGACCCCCTGACTGTGATAAAAATGACCAGGATTCTGATAATAGCAGGATTGTGGTGATAATTAGTGCTGTGCACTAATTGGTGGGAGGAATAATGCTGAGGGAGGGAGGTAGCATCGTCTGCTGACTTTGTGTGGCCACCTGTTATTGTCTGGACATATCATACCAGCTTAGTGGTTTGCTATGGCGAACACGAATGTAGATACTTATGTACAACGTGTGTAATAACAGCAAAAGGAGTATGTTGGGAGGAGCCATTTTGGTGAGGGTGGTGGTACCATCTGGTAGCTGCTGTCACTTGTAACGTGTGTAATAACAGCAAAAGGAGTATGTTGGGAGGAGCCATTTTGGCGAGGGTGGTGGTGCCATCTGGTAGCTGCTATCACTTGTCATGCATTTTTTTGTGGCCTCTATGTTGTTTGAACACCATACCAGCTTAGTTATAAAATTATGGTGAATAAAACATGTAGATACTTGTATATAATGTGTGTATATAGTGTAAACACAGCACAAACAGTATAGTGGGAGATGGAATGTTGGTGAGTGAGGGTGGGAGCGTCAGCTGACCGTGTGGCAACATCAGTTACTGTCTTGACTCACCATACCAACTTAGTTGTACAGTTGGTTCACACATTTTATTATATAAATAAAGCACACTGCACACCATTGAATATTAACACTGCAAAAAAAAAAAAGAGAGAAAAAATCGGAGATATTGAAATAATTAGGTAATAATATCTTTACAAAATATCTTAACAGTATTTATAGACAAAATTTTGGAGTCCTTGCCTCTGATTAGTTTGTGCTCCTAAGCACATGTGTCAGTAACAGAATGGTTCAATTGGAATTGCTGCTCATTTTCTCAACACCTCTCTTATATACTGTTAGATTACACTGGATAGCTACCATTAATACCAGTTTAAACAATGTTTTCCAGTTTTCTTTGTTCAATTGCCCAATTGCCATGATTCAAGCTTTAAGAATAATGATTATAATTTGCAATTGTTAATAGTTCCTGACTCGGATTCTGCAAGAAAAGCACCTAAATTTAGTAAAAGTTCTTGTTGTTGTTGGTATAAATCTTAAGTAGGATACCTAAAATTTTAAAATTCCTGAAGTTAGAATCTTAGGTACTGGTATTTAATACATTGATAAAGAGGACTACTATAGTGTCAAAAAAAAAAACCTAATTAAACTTTCTTCATTTCTGTATATTGTGTGAAGCATAACACATCTGATATCGGTGTGTAATGTGATGTACTAAGGTCTACTCAAAATCTTCATTCCAAAAACTGTTGGACATAAAATTGGCCTCTAAATGTGAGGATTGACTCTGGCCTCAAGTTGACTACTCGTGTGGATGTAGCTCCCAAAATGATACATATAGCCTTGTTTTGTAGGGATTCACAAGTTGTCTTTGTACAATGAGATGTAATGCATTGTAGTCAGTTACTGAGCATTATAAAGGCTTATGTAAAACATTATAGCGAGTGTCTCATTAATCTCGCCAACAAGGACTCGCAGGGACTTGGATCTCTCCCAGAATCTCTTCCTGAGAGAAGAGAGGTATCCTGGGTCATTTATGGGAACTGCAAGGTATAGGTAAGTATAACAGTTGTCAATTGCACATCCACCGATATTTTAGATAGGTGGCAGTTTATCCCATCACATGGAATGCGAACTTGTCTTCTTCAGAGATAAGAAGTCCACATTCCACAGCCCTTGCAGCGGAGTATCAAAATGCATCCAGGGTTTAGTGGCTGCATATGGACAATCATTTGTAGCCAGAGAAACATGTGACTTTTATTATTGGTTGGAAGAGTTTTAATAAGCTTGTATGCATTCATTAACAGGGAGGCGAGCCACTGAAATCTCATTATAGACCTATCCAACAACCATGCATTCTAGCACATAATAGATATACTCTATGATGTTAATGATGCTGGTTTATATTTGTTTACAAAGTTAAGGTATAGGAATGGTAATGCTCTGCAAGCATAATTATAAATGTCTCATACTATATAAAATGAATAGGGTGTCACCTGGTACAGTATTTGTGAATTGGCTAGCTATTCAGTATAAGTACTATTGATAATGCTATCTGGAGCATCATCAATATCAGTGCAGACAGTATGTCACAATAATGTGGCTGAAAATTAAGACATCCAACCTAGGAATCTGAAAACAAAAGTGACGACATTTTGGTTTGTCCTGGACCATTATCATGATTTGGTAGTGGTCCAGGGACAGACCGAAATAGTGTCAGCTCATTTTTTTTCTTCAGATTTATTGGTTGGGTGTCAACATTAGTTTTCAAAACATGGTTTAGAAAACATGGTATAGATCTCAATAATATCATGATCTGGCAAGTCAGTAGCTGAGTATGGCAGGGTTAATGGTAATTTGTCCTGATAAAAGGTTTGGACCCATAGGCATTGTTTGGAAGTGGATTGAAGGAGAGGAAGTTACTGTTAAGGATAGTGTGTGTGTACCACCACCTGTGGTACTGACACTAGTGGTGCCACCCAGTTTTTTGCAGAATGTAGCTAGAAACATTTCATATAATAAATGTTGCTGTATTAATAAATAAATAAAAGTATAGTATGTTACAGTTCACAACTTGCCATTATTACAGGTACTTTAGTTTATTTTTTAGGCAGTAACATCAACTTTACCCATTTTCAGTCTTGAAATTTATCCCATTTATTTTCAAAACATTTTGTAGGGTTAAATAATAATTAAGTGCCATTTTATAGTAATGAACAGTCAACATAGCATTTATGTTCTTAGCAATGTAGGGAATGTGTGCTTGCCAGGTCTACACAATTTCTCTCAAGTCACACTTCATTGTTGAGTTGTGATCAATGATGCCACATTCCTGAGTGGGATGAGTCTGAAGTCATGTTCAGTACCGGTACGGTATAGTATGATATATGGATGATGTACAAAGATGGCTGATGAGTACTATTGATTTTCTGTGAGGCATACTTTTAAGTACATGTACTGTAGAAAAGTTACATGTGCTCATTAGCTTTGATTTGGCTACACCTGGTATAGAGCCTGATTCTGAGTAGGGAGGTTCATGTATGGATTGTTTTTACATATTTTTTAAGAGTTCTATTAATATGATAGTTTATTAAAGTTTATTCATATACTGGTAGTGGTAGGTAAATATGAGCACTTTTCCATGATTTGTTTTGGATTAACACTTTCGTTACCCCGGCGGGCTACTCACTGCGCAGCTTAAGGTAGGCCGAGCGGTGTGCACAACTTACAACCTACAAATGTTCATACTCTCTTCAGCTTTCTGACCTCAATTTTTGTGCTATTCTATACAATAGAATACTGTAAAAGGATATTTGCATATAAGCGCATACAAGCCTCTCTTTCCTATACTTTAGACCCGCTGCACGCTGCAAGGTAGCCGTAGCATTGCCCGAGAGCTCACCACTCCAATGTTTATTCTCTCTTCAGCTTTCTGATCTCAATTTTCTTTCTACATCATTCAATTTGGTATCAAATTGCTCACAATAGAATGCTGTAAAGGGAAATTTGCATATAAGAATACTGTAGGTGTCACTTTTCTATACTTTCGACGAAAACTCGCTAACTTTTCCCTCATAAGTGTTTTTCAATGTTTTCGTCGTGGATTGGCTCTGTTCTTGATCAGTATCCATCTGGAAGTCATTTTGTAGTGATTATAAAGCCGATAACAACAAATACTTGAGATAAAATAACCAGAATGGGAGAAACTTTTAGACTCGAGGGGAGGCAGCAGCTGTCACGAGCGAGGTCACGAGAACAGTGAGCCTCCAGCGTGGGTGGGTGCCCACACGGAGGGGTCAGGATGCCATGTGAGGGTATACAGAGAATGGGCAGAAGTTGGCGCGCATTTTAAAACAAGTCCCATAGTATTTGGACAATAAATGAAATTTCTAAAAAATGTTTAAATTATTAATGCCTATTTGCATCATTGGGCATACTCCATATTTTGGTTCCATGACGGAATATGCGGCATCAGGCAGCGAAAGTGTTAAGAAATCTTGTTTGCAGGTTGCCGAATGAATTACTGTGGTCTGTAATGTGAGAGCAGAAGTTGCCTGCTGGCCACTGTTAGGTATCACATAAGTGAACTACTGCTACCTGACTGGCATGTGTACTCCAAAGAAGTACTGGGTATTGTTTTAGTGTGGAATGCAAATTTCTAGCATTTTTCTAAAGTGTACCCTGGAATTAACTTGGAAATTTATAAACATTGTGCTGTCACCATTCAGAAATTGGTATAATTTATGTACAATACATTTTCCCCCCCAGATTGGCAAATTATAATCCTCAACGACATTCAGTTGCACAGAAAATTGACAATTGTATGTCAGTGGCATTCATTGCATAGTTCTGCTATTTGATCATATTTTTTGTACAGTATTCTGTATCACACGAATGGTAAAGATGGTATACTCTAAATATGCTTGTGATTACTATATTATTTATATTATATTATTTTTTAGGCAGTAACATCAACTTTAACCATTTTCTGTCTTGAAATTTGGTACTTGTATGCCACCACATTGAGAAAGGTGGTGGCATACAAGTACCAGTGATTGGTGGGTGTCACCAGCAGATGACAGCATGTATCAGGATGTTTATTTCCAATTTCAAAGGTCTTGAGATGAACATCTGCCCTCACTGTACAGAGGGAAGTTTTTATGATTGGATAAGTTATATATAGCATCTAAAGGGTTGAATTTCTAAAGCAAATATTTTCTTTTTTACAATAAAAGAATAGTTTTTTTTACATAATCAACATTATTTATTTTAGTACACGATGTACACATTTTTATATTAACCCCATATTTTCAGTGTTCTTCAAACTATTCCACCATCCCCTTTATTTTCCCATGAGCATCCAGTAAAATACAGAGATGGCTTGGGATTACACCTGATGGCCCTCTACTGAGGGTGCTAAACATTTAAAAACTTACGTGTGCATGTGACCATCAAAACACATGGTTTGAATAGTTTTTTCATCGGACCATGTTGAATGTTTTGCTTTTCATAAACATATTTAAAAAGTAAGGAAAATTGATAATAGGTTTGCAAGGAAAATATTTTGTCAGTAAAATTTTATGTTTGTAATTTCTCTTTTCAGAGGGAGAGGAAGAGGCTTCGGACCAATGGGGCCTATGGGACCAATGGGGCCAATGGGACCGATGGGGCCAAGAGGACCAGGTGGACCTGGCCCTGGTGGCCCTCGCTTTAGGGGTAGGGGAGGGCCAGGGTTTAGACCACCACCACCAGGATTTAGGGGGCCTCCACCATTTGGACCACGTGGACCAAGGTTTGGCCCACGCGGTCCACCACCACCATTTGATCCTAACTGGGGACCAATGCCTCCACCACCACCAGGCATGGGTGGCCCCATGGGCCCTCCAGGCATGGTAAATTACTTTTTATTGTGCAATTACTGTAATTATTAATATTTTTATTTTATTAGAATACAGAAATATGGTAGTATTGTACATTGAATTATGAACTGTACACATGATTCAAGTCTGATTAAGAAAATCAACAATATTGTATGTCTCACGTGTGTGTGTGAAGACTTCTGAAATGAACGTAAAAATAGTATTGACTGTGTGTTTATAAAGAAACATCAAGATTAGTATAGTCTTTAATAGATGATTTAATAGGTGCTCTTCTAACAATGGTGTAGAAAGAAAGATACTGTTTGAAATTAGGATAAATAGAAAAGTTCAAACTGTTGATTAATTTAAATACATTGTATGTAACAGGGTGCTTGTTGAAGCAAATTTGATTGATTGAAGGGAGTGGGCTAGTATAGAAAAATTATTAGGAAGAATAAGAAGAGGAAGAGGCAGGTTTAAGGCTGAATCAAGTTATAATGCTGTATTAATGTAGAACTATGAATCACTAGTATAGCAAGAAAGTGAAAAAATCATGAATTAACAACTAATAAGTGGACAATCTAGGTTGCAATCTCAGTGTTTGAGAACAGATGGAGTAAGGAAAAATTAAAAAAAAATCACATGACATGATTATTTACATAAGCTGTCAACCACAATACCATGGATAATAACATTTCAACTGAGCTATGAGTCAGTTGGTAGAACTTCTCACGTGCTGGAGGTCAGGTGTTCGAGGCTCCTAGTGCCCAGGTGAATGAAATGTAATCACACATGATTAAGATGGTTTATGTTGAATGATGACAATTAACTGATATAGCAAGTGCTTTGAAGTAATATTCAAATTGATGGTAGAGGGAGGGAGGGAGTCTTGAGCATTTACAATACACATAATGTAGCAGGGAACTAAACACAGTGGCAGCAGTTTAATACTGGGAATGTGTGTTTTGTCTGCAGATGACTACTCTGGAGTGGAATGACTGTGTGTGTGTGTGTGTGTGTGTGGGGGGGGTATAGTTTCAGATGCTATGTAGTTTGTAATAGATAAGGGAATGGATTTATATAATTGTTAGTTTTAATATCTAATTTTTTTTTTTTTTTTTTTGCTATACTGCACCTGTTGTTGCTCTAGGTTGGTACCTTTCCATCCAGTAAAAGTTAGGACTGGTAATTATGTTCATGCAGCATACAATACCAGAAAATGACCCGAGATATGCTTCTCAATGCATATGATGGAGAATACGTTTAGGTAGAATCAGCTTAGGAAGTGACTAAAATTTTTTAAATTATAAATAATGGAAAGTGTTGAAAATCTATTCATACAAGGCAGTGGAGCACAGCGGGTGTTGTTCTGTGAAAGTGTGCAGGAGTCAATTCAATACAGTGTGTTTTGAAAAATTCAAAACACATACCAATGTGACGTGTAGCATCATTGGAAAGCAGCGTTAGTATTTTGATTTATGCATGTTTCATCACCACAATGCATGTTAATTATATACAGTATTTATAGATATTGTAATTATTTTGTGTACTTTAAAAGCTAAATACTTTTTCTTTTTGTTGTAGCCTCCAATGGGCCCTATGGGTCCAATGGGGCCCATGGGACCACCAGGTCCATGGGGGCCAATGGGACCACCAGGGCCAGGTGGACCACCAAACCAACAGCCTAACCAAAATGTGAGTTTAGTTCCTCAATTTATGACAAGTTAAGTTTTTTTTTTTGTTTCAACGTTATCTTTCATTAAACAATTCTGCGGTTATCAATACTGTTATCTGCTATAATCAATGCTTTTGTTTTTACTCGTACTGTATCAGCAACAAAACTCGCTAGGGGGCATGGACCTAAGCGGTGAGATTTGGGTGGAAACCAAAACCGGTGAGGGAAAATCGTATTACTACAATGCACGCACCAGAGAAACTACGTGGACCAAGCCAGAGGGCGACGGTGTAAAAATACTAACACAGCAAGAGGTATGCTATATGTATTATATTATTATGCTCTCTCCTTGGTATTTTATATATGTGGTTTTGTGTAATGAATAAAATCATTTTCTGTTATATTGTTAGTATTCTTTGGTATGTACAGTAAAATATTTTTTATTAACTGGCAATAATTTGATTACTATTTTTATCTTCAGATAATTTTTCAGATTGTCTTAATATTCCTACTCGTGTATTTCAGTCCATAAGCTGAATATGGTACATTTCAAAATAAAATTTATTTAAATGTTTATACAGCACTGTAAAAGTTTTGTGACATGCACCTACTAATTAAGATAAATTAAACATTTTTAATCAGCAAATAATTATTTGCTGGTTAAAAATGTTTAATTTATCTTAATTTTTCTTAAATTCAAAATACAGTATAAACTAGCCACATAACAATCTTTTTAATATGCCCAGTGGCTTTATTGCACCCAGAAAATTTTTGTTAAATTAGTAAAAATAGCTGAAGTACAAGCTAATGTACTGTTTTTCATGAGATTTATTAATGCCTTTGTTTATTGTAACTATTGTTGTTGATTTAGTATATTTATTTTTGGTGGTTATGTATAGTATACTGTATTTAATTTTCATAATTTTTAGGGCTTATATTTTAACCCTTGAAAGTTGGGTCATACAGTATGTTGATTCCTGGGTCAGTGTGGCTATCATCACTTGCCAATTTTAGTTACTACCAGCTTTTATGCAAATGATTTGTGTTTCCAAACACAAATTTAACTTTCTAGTGATTTATATTTTTTGTCTGTTTTGATTTACTTGAACAGGTGGAAGCTATGGCTCAGGCAGCAGGTGTGACGCCTCCTAGTCAGGGTGGTAACAGTGGCCCTCCACATGGTGGCGGTGGCGGAGGTAACAACAGTAACAACAATAGCGGCGGCAACCAGGGCCCAGGTGGTGGTGGTAGTAACGGGCCACCAAACCAGGAAAATGGTGAAAAAGACGATGACGATGAGGGACCTGGCGGTGGGTGGCAGGGACCACAGGGCCAGTGGGGGCCTCCAGGTGTTGGCATGGGTCCACCTCCAGGAGGGCCTCCATTTGGTATGCCTCCTGGAGGGCCATTTCCTGGGGGACCAGGGGGACCACCTCCGTACGGTGTACCTCCAGGACCACCAGGTGTGTAATTGAACTGTCGTTTATGGTTATATTTAATCCTTACAACTAGTATTTAAGAAAGTTACCAGGTACATTTAAATATTGGAAACCAATATACCAGAGAAATTTAGAAAATACTTTTGTTTTGAGTGGTAAATGAGTGAATAAGTTTGAACCAGAGGCCTTGGAAGCAACACCCATTCATAGCTTCAAGGGGGTAGTACTGTATATCATAGTACAGTAGATTGAGGAGGTATGAATGTATATCGAGTACAATAACTGTGAGGCAGGCCTATAGAGCTGGATCTCGCTTACCATAGCCACAGTTATGGTAACACAGTTGCACTAATTGTCGCTATATACAACTTACATAAGATCAACTATTAGAGTATGTAGGCAGCACTGGCATGGAGTCCACACCTTAAAACTGCCAGTTTTCTCGCACTCCAATTTAATTTTGTACTTTTTAGCTTCTTATGTAATACTATCACCCATTCTCCGCTTAATCGTATCTCACATAGCACCAACACGAGATAACATAGTTTTCAGATATTCCTCTTGCTGCTCTTATATTACATATGTAAGCATATTTTTCTCACCAAGCACAAAGTTAATTCAATTTGTATAAAATTTCAGCACCTAGCTTGTTTCATGTTTATGTATGTATATCCTTATTTAAAGTGATTAAGTGTGATAAGTGATTAGTGATTTTTATTAATAAGTCTTTCAAATTTTAGCTACAATCACTGTCATTTATTGTTGGATAAAATTACAGTTCGTGCAATTCTTGGGGTCTATTTCTACTTTATCATGCATATCGCCCATTATATATATTCTGTAATAAGATATCATACCAATCTCAGTTTCTTGGTAACGGCAGAAGAACCTCTTTTTCGCTTTCTCTCATCATTACATTGTACTTGGTTAAGAAGAATCGCTCATTGCCTTCATTCTTTCAAACTCTAGTTTCACAAACAAAAACCTTGGCTATCTTAAAAGAAGTTATTAATCTCTGCTTAACACTAGGACATTTTTGAAGGAATTTCACCTGCTTTAACAAGCATATTATAGCCTATACAGTATTACATTTACCTATGCTATTTTTTTGTTTAAATTAATTTGAAAATATTTGATAATGTTTGCTGATATGTTCTAGTGGTTCAGGTTAGGTTACCTGAAGGTTTACCAGCCATGGGTGTTTTTTTTTTTTTATACTATAGTGCATTTTATTTTTGGTAATTACTGTAGTACCATCATTCTATAGCCTAAAGATGTTCCTGAGAGCCAAAAAGAAAACAGGCTCAATTGAACACCTTTTATATGAAGATCAAATTTTTCTTGTAATTTTGGTAGAGAGCATAACCTGGGTGTTTAATTTTACATTTCTATTCAAATGTTTCTCTCTAAACATCAATATTTTAACATGTCACTATGTTTGAAGAGGTGTTGGCATTATTGGGGTTCCTTTTTGTTTAGTAATGTCAGTGGTAGAGGGTTCTTTGCTGCAGGTGGACAAGGACTGGTCACCTTATCCTAACTAATTTGTATTAAATTGCATTGTCCCTCTTTGTTATAACTTGATTCATTATTCATGTGACCTCACTTCAGTCTGGTATGTGAAGTGGGAAAATGTGGTCACTGTTCAGTACCATACCTTGTTGCTTTGTATCTCTTCAGTTTGGTGAAGCAGACACTCTTGTTATTGTTTTTAACGGTTGGGAAACAAGTTTGATTGTTGACTTGTCAGATAAATATTCGGTGTATTCAGTATGTGCTTGGTTCATTAGAATTGCTAATTTACTAAAGGGTGTACACAATGTAGGAATTTAATTGATTTGATGTAAAATTAATATTGTTGCTTTAGGAATATTCATAAATTGACTTGTAAAGGGATATTTGTTTTTACATGAAAGTATTTATTTATTTTCATGCCTTTTTAAGAAGCACTATATTTATTTTAGCAATATTATGGATTTATAGAAAGCTGTCATAATTTGTTAGCATTGTTAAATATTGTTTATTGAATGCTAAGGATAATAAGTTGATTAGAAAAAATTACTAAAAGATTTAGGGTAAAGAGAAAACATGAAGATAGATTATCTTCCTTAACCATGTCAGTTTGCAGTACAATATATCTAATATAGACTAATAATATCATGGCTAAAACATTTAACCCAACCCACATAAAATGAAATAGGTAACATTTCAGTTTGTCCTGGAAGTTGTGGCCCCCTTGATGACCAAACCAAACTCGGAAGATCAAGAAGCGATGATGTTTTGGTCCATCCTGAACCATCATCAAGTTGTCTTTTCACTCGACTTGATAATAATCCAGGACAGACAGAAATGTCGTCGCTGCTTCATCTTCCGAGTTGTAGTTTGGTCATCATTTGGTCAGCCACGTTATTGTGACTCCGTCTGCTTGTGGCTACTTAATAACACTAGGATGAACTGAAATGGTGTTACTTTCATTTTGTGTGTAGATTGGGGGAGTATTTCCAATATTATGATAACCTCCCTCTATTTTGGTAAAATTCTGGGTTGTAATATTTATAATGCAATAATGAGAATTTGGTTTATTATCACAAAATTCTTAACGTGTTTAGCTGCACTCTGTAAGTCTGATGTTTTTTGTTTCTCTCTCATTTAGGATTTGGCCCAGGGTTTGGCTCGGGTGAGATAATGATTATAGTTTTATGGGTGTAGCATTGTAAGGGTGTGTTTGCAAGCAGAAGTCTTTTCAAGGTTGCATGCCACGCAGGGGATTATGGTCATTGCTTATTAATTAACGTGTGCCATAATATCTTAATTTGTCCGAAGGTCAGTGATAAATATGGCGATTAGTGTTGGGCCCTTGATTAGGATTTCTGTTTGCAAAGCGTCATAATTTTTGGTGGTTGGAAAGTTAACCTATTGGCGACTTAAATTTAACAGTTCAGCATTTTTGAGAAGTATGAGAAATATCTGCTTAAATGAGAAATATTTATATTGAGGCTCCATAATTTGACCAACATATATACCATAAACCAAAAGGTTATCTAGTAACTTAGAGATTACTGCACTTTCTGTATGCTGGGGTGGTTAGTAGAGAAGGGCGTTTGTATTAACTTTGTTAAAACTGTGTAGCATTTTGGCTGGCTTTTTAGTTGTAGCTTGGATTTAGAGTAATTATTGAATTAACAGTTTACTTGTTATACTAAATGGGGCAATGAGATCAAAATCTGAAATTATAGTTGTTGGTCTTTTATTGAAAGTTCGTCTTCACATTTCTGTTTCTAGAGTCATTACTGGTACCACTGGTATTAACCACTTAGTGGTGGCAAGGGGACATGAAAATAGTTAACAAATCAAATGGGAAATATTGCATTTAAAGTGTTGAGCAGTCTAAGGGTTCTCATTTGTCAGGGATCTCGTTGCCCCAGGATTGTCATTTCAAACTGATAATAATTCAAATATAATTAAAATCTGTGCTGATAACCTCTTTGCCTCTATAATAACACTTGGGAACTTAACTAGTGTTGTTTCCCGTTGTTGGGAAGAGAAGGTAGTTAAGCTTACAGAGATCCCTCTAGACCCAACTACAGACCTTCCCCAGGATGCACCCCACAATAGTTGCCTGACTCCCGGGTACCTATTTATTGCTAGGTGAATAGTGGCATCAGGTGAATGGAAATGTGCCAAGTCTTGATGTATTTAGTTATTTATTATGTAAGTACCAGTAGTTTACTAGTAGTTGCTGTAGAGTTTTTCTACTCCACAAGCCAAGTTTTATTAGTAATAACTTGATCGGTCAGGCTGTTACTCTCAGTGGTAAAGGCTCATCTGGCTTCATACAGGAATTTGTCATATTGCTTCTTGAAAACATCATCTTTTATTTGGCCATATCTACTTGGTGGGTTGTGAAGAGATTGATTGGAGAGGTGTGTGGGCCTCTGATGTTCAGTGTTATCTGAGGGTGCCTGTGGTGCACCTATTCTTCACTGGGTTTATTCTGCATTTCCTACCATAATTATATGGGGCGAGTGGTGGTGATATACATGCATGAATGTGCTGATGCATGCCAATGGTTTTAATTTTTGTCTAGCATGCTTGCTCTTACAATAGGCTTTTATGATTCACTGCTTATTTTTGTATAGTTTAACGTAACTTTTTGTATTTTAATGCTATGCTAATAATGAAACAGGAAAGTTGATATCATATGTTAAAATCCATTATTTGCTTCATTAAGAATATACTGTTTTAAAATAGTTTATTGTATGTTAATTGTATTAAGTATTGTTTATGATTTATTTTATGAAATTAATTATGCATTTCATATTAAAGTACAATAGTTTTGATTCTTCATGAGCAAAAGTTTAGTAATCACTGAATTTCCTGACTAGCTTTTAGGTATTTTGAAATCACTTCATCGTATAAACTCACTTGGTGTGTGCTGTTATATTATTATTATTTTTAAATTATCAGGTTTTGGCCCTGGTCCAGGCCCTGGGTGGAATGGCTACCCTGGTCATGGGATGCCCCCTGGGCCCCCAATGGGTCCTCCAGGGTGGGGAATGCCACCACCTGGTATGGGGAATATGCCACAAGGTGGCATGCCAGGCCCTATGGGCGATCAGCAACAGCCTCAACAGCAAAGGCAACAGCAACAGCAGCAGCAACAGCAGCAGCAGCAACAACAGCAACAGCAGCAGCAGCCACCAACACAGCAGCAGCAGCAACAGCCACAGCAGCAGCAGCATGAGCCAGAGCCATTATCAGGTCCAGAGGTTAGTTTTTTTTTTTTTAAGTCTGGTGTAATTGTTCATCATATTAAGTTTAGAATATTAATACTCTTATACATTTGTACCTTCAATGGTAATGAAAGTTATTACTCATAGCTGTAATAGTTTCTTTACACACTAATTCCAAGAATGGAAATGAGTAGAAAGTTTTGCACTAGTGCCAATTATGCAAAGTTTTGTCATTGTAAATTTATTAGTTTCAAAGATGTAATTTTCTAATTTATTTATATTTGTAATAAATATTTGTCAGCAATATCCCAGAATTGAATTTACTGACAGGCTAAAAGTGGTTTTGCTTACTGTTGCACGTGTAACAAACTGTTTACATCCTTCTGGCCAGTGTGATGTGGTGTTAGATTGCATGTATTTACATAGAAAAGGGAAGTTAGGCACGTCACGGAAGACCTATCTGTCCCCACCACCAGTAGGCTATTCTTCTGTAAACTCATCTTCCCCACTCCCTCAATAAATTCTCTTTCCGTAATCCCCATCCTTTTTATCTCCATCCTACCTCCCTCCTTTTTCCACTCCCACCACCTCCCACCTTCGCCTCCCTTTCCATACATATTTTTCCACCCCAACTACCACTTAATTCTCTCTTCTCCAGCCTGCACTTAGTATGCTATAGTCCTGAATGCATTATAAATATGTTAGCATTAGATGCTTTTTACCCATTATAATCCCTGTTTTACGTTATCTTGCAATTACAACACCCTGAAATCATTGCACCCCTTTAGTGAATTATGTCAGTCTTTTTCATAGATATATTCTGATCTTGGGAACACTCTTGATTGGGTACAATCAAGCACATTTTTATTTTTATTTATTTGTTTTCTAAATTATATATCTGGGAAATGTTTTAAAGATTCATGTACAGTATATTAGTGTAATGAAAGTCTCTTGGTTGCAATACACTGGAGTGCAACCAACAGCTGCAAAGAATATTGAAGTATAGTTTGTAAATATTTGCATTAAAACTGTGAATTCAAAGGATATACACTTGCCATTATATTCTTGCTAAAGCTCTTCAGAGGAGAAAATAAATTAGAGCACTCATGTATTGGTTTTGTTTTGGTTCGTGAGCAGAGCAGCAATGTTGTTCCTGGCGTTACCAGCAGCGGTGGCCAGAGTAGTGACAGCATGGTGAACACAACAAACAGTGGTGTTGTTGTTGCCAGCAGTACAACAGTGGTGACTCAAGGAGCTCCTTCTTCTACGGTAGACGATTCCAATTTAGATCCGGAAATGGTTGCGCTTGCCGCTCACTGGACAGAGCACAAAGCTCCTGACGGTAGAAATTATTATTATAATTCTAAAACACAAGAATCTGTGTGGGAAAAGCCTCAAGCCATGAAAGATTTAGAAGGTAACTTAAAATGTGTTGAGTTGTTTATGCAGTAGGTCATACATTGATGTTAGATTTTGATCGAAATGCAAAGTAATTGTTCATATGCAAGACACTTTGAGCAGATATTTTTCTATACTGGTCTATTATGAATACTATGTACTAGTGTAAATATATACTTGTAGTGGAATTGAGTAATTGAAAAATACTTAATTTTTTGTAATATCTTTCAGCTGCAAGATTAGCACTTGCTCAGGGTATTACATTATCTGTTAGCTCTGGACCGGGAGCACCTGGCACAGAGACTGAATCTCAACAAGAAAGTAATTCTACAAAAGTGAATGGAGAAGGTTCAGCTTCTCCAGATGACAAAAATACATCAATGGAAGTCGATAATGATGACTCCAAAGTAAGTTGAATATCTTGTATTGTTGCTTGTTTTGGTTGCTTGTTACGCTATTTGTTTTTCTCTTTCCAAGTAATAATTACGTGGATTTATTATTGCCTTCGGGATTCTTGTGTGCTTTTAAGAAAACCTTAGTCTGTCTGCCCTATCAATTATTATTCAGTTTCTCAATGTTGTGTTCAATGACAGTTTTAATTATATTTTTGAGGCAATTATATTATGTACATATAAGAACCCTTAGTAAATTAGATGATTTTGTCCCATTAAATGTATCTGTTTCAAAGACTGTTAATGTTGTACAGGATGGTGAAACAGATGAACAAAAAAATCAACAAGACCTCAGTCGGCCAGTATCATCTCAACCGGTGTCGGGCACCCCTTGGTGTGTGGTGTGGACTGGTGATGGCAGAGTCTTCTTCTATAATCCTACAACGAAGTGAGTCTTTCTATCTTGGTTTCAATGAATTTAAGAACTTTGTGTCATTGGTTTGATGAATTAATCAATCAGAATAACGTTCAGGCATACAAATTGTGTAATGTGTAACTAGTTCATATTAAATAAGTTAAGTTAGAGTAGAGAATGTTAGTAACGTAGCTGAAACAAATAACCCAACCCACACTTAATTTCATGTGTGGGAATTTTAATTTGGTTAAATGGTTAATATTTATCACCTATTTCTTTGTTCTCTTACAAAAAGCAATATGTTTCTTAAGACATGCTTAATATATATAAACAAAGATTTTGTGAACATATTAATACTTCCTTTTCTCTAAAAATGTAAAATATGATATTTTTTTGGTGGTACTGGCTTGGTCTTGGTAACTCAATGGTGGTAGAATATGGTTAAATGCATTTTATGCAAAAGAAATTTTAATCTAGTATTTTAACTGTTGTTACTTAATGTTTATTTTCCCAGAACATCTGTTTGGGAGAAACCACCCGATTTGCTAGATAGAGCCGATGTTGACAAAATGGTCAATAATCCACCTGCAGAAGTTGTTGGACTGAAGAACAAAGCTGAAGAACCTTCTAAGGACGAACCTCTGTCCAAAAAACCGCGCACAGATCCACCTTTGACAACTACGACGACGACAGTTCCTACTACTGCTACGCCACACCCAACAATTATTAGTGTAAAATATTTATGTATATTTGTTAATTTGTTTAAATGTCATTCTAGGACTCGGCTGTTTTTATTGATTCTGGTCAATAATGGCTTGAAAGTGATGTCAAGAGGTTAGGTCCTCTCGTCCTGTGGTTGGTTGGTTTAGTATTCTTATTCTAAGCAATTTATTTTTGGTTTAGTTGGATGTACTTACCATTTGATCTGAGAACATTGCAAAATGTTATTTTTTAATTCCATTTTGGTTTCTGCATCTCCCAAACTTATTATATGCATAATGCAGGTATTTTTTTTCTTTATTAATTCTTCTGTCAATATTTTTTTCATTATTCATTCTGTTTACTTGAAATTCTTGAAGTTTTTTTTTTTTTTTTACATTTTATTGGTTTTGTCTTGCTAGTCATGGTAATTAAAGGTTTATTAATATGAGGCCAGACTCATTGACACTCTAGAAGGTTGTGGTTTACAGGCATATCAACTACTTAGTTATTTTCTGCTGCTGTTATAAACTTTTGAGTTATTGCCTAGGTAGTTTTCCATATAATTGTTGAGCAGAGTCAGCAACTTACTGCCTCTCAATATTCCTCACAGTATCCAAGGTTTTATTCGACCGCTAATACCTGCTACTGTGATTCGGAGGGCAGTTGAATGTGACTTGTGAAGCTCCTCCTCTGGCTAAAGGATATGAGACAGACTAAGTGAGCTTCTTTTCCTAGGGGCATGTTAGGCCACAAGGCTCTGATTCTACCAGTTTATTTACTGTCCACTGCCATTCTAATATACCCTTAATACGGATACCTTATAGTTTTGACGTGATTTTTCACCATTTTGCAATGTGCAATATCTAGAGAACACCGCATGTGTTGGTACAGTACTAGAGGTATCCCTATTATTTAGCTATGTATCCCCTTGGAGGCAGTCTTGAAACAGTTTAAAGCAATTGTCGGAGAAAATGACCTTTGGTAATACTGTACCAGAGACTGTACTAGCCAGTATAAATGCATCAGTAAAGATGGTGGTATGATAAAATGTGTAAAAATGACAATTCTGTGTTGCCAAATTCAAGGCATGGAAATGCACAAATACAGTACTGTAGATAGGAACTTTGCTGTAAGCTGTATATGTAAAATGTGTGCATTGTTTATATCTTGGCTATTGGTATTTATAGAACCTATATTTTAATTATTGTTTTTACTTTGACAGCAGCATGTGAAGGAAGAGGTTAAACGGATAGATATTGGGAAGGAGGCTGCAATTGAAGCCGAAGTTAAAGCTGCACGGGAACGAGCAATTGTTCCTCTGGAAATTCGTATGAAACAGTTTCGAGATCTATTGGCAGAGAAGGGGGTGAGTGAGAGTAGCTTGTATTAATATTAAACTTTGTAGAGTGTATTTTCATTATGAACAGGAGTACAGTGCTCTTAAGGGGCCAATGGTTTGCATTAGTTTTTTGAAAGTTGTTCAATGTCAACAGTTGTATATGAAAAGGATTTCATCTGGTCAAGTCTCAGCATCATAGCATGAATATTAAGGGAGAAGAAAAATATTGAATTAGGTGTCAACAATTTTCCAAAATGTTCAAAAACGATTATAAAACACAAGTGTCAACTGAAATCATGTCTACGACTCGGTTATCACAATAGCATATATTAAAAAAAATTATAATTAGTCTTATTACAAAAAAATAGTTAAAAAAAATGATTTTTTTTTTCAATTTTATTTTTCTTATTTGTTTATCGGACGATTTGCATAAAATTTATACACCTGACGGCACGTAAGCCTATCTGTAACGGTGCCAAGGGGGTCAGGAAATTGGTTGATGTCAACCTCAGCCACAGATGGCAGCCCCTTAGACTTTATTTTTGACTTATTTCAAGTAACATAAACATTCATATAACTCTTAAATTTTTTATCCAATTTACATGAAACTTACACCTTATATGTAGTGTATGTCTCTAAAATCTGTAGTCAGCATTTTTTCCTAATTTCATTTATTGATTTTATAATAGCAATAAACATGTTACATTTGCATTTTTTTTGGGGGGGGGGGACTTTGGCTATTTATATTAGGAAAACTAAATATGTTTTGGAAAATCCCAAACTTCAGATCCTTTATTATATGCTAATGTGTCAAAAAAGTGTCATAGAATGATTATATCTGAAACATATGGTTGTATATACACACTTGAAAATGTGTAATATTTGTTGAAAAAAAAAAAAAGTTAAATCTTCCCCTCTTTTTAGGCTGCATTACTGAAACTTGGAACAATTGCAGCCCTTTTCATATACAACTCGACCAAAAATATTGGTTGACATTGAACAACTTTTAATGAACTAATCTAATGCCTCAGGCTTAAAGAATGTTTTCTTCGGCTTTGTCAATTTGATTTAAGAAATATCATTCCATCATTCTGTATGTTGTGTAATGATCTGCAAATTCAAAGCACCAGTGCCACTGTGCATTCTAGGTACTCATTATAATAATTATTTTTATACGATAGACAATACATTGGACAAATTAGTAGTTACATAAAGGGTAAAGTAATTGGGTATTATATAAAGCTACTGGTAATGCACAGGGTTTTGATCAATGAGAAACAGCAAGGGGAAACTTTGTTAATAGGGTAGCTCTTACACGGCACACATGTAGCACAAATTGAAGTCTGTAGAAGCAAGGTGGTTGCGTATAAACAGTGTTACCTACATCAGAGTACATCTTCAGATGATGGAAAATGTTGTCCAGTAATCGGGATTCTTTTGAATATTTTGATAATTTAGATCTTTGAATTGCAGGTAGTGTTCTCACTGTAATGTCGGTGGGTGCCTTACTATGTAATGTGATGTATATTATGTTTATAGTAATGAAATTATGAGCATTTAATGTATCAGTAAATTTGTAGTGATTTTCATTAATTTGCATTAACAGGTTTCTGCGTTTAGTTCATGGGAGAAGGAGCTGTCCAAAATTGTTTTTGATTCCCGTTACCTTCTACTAACATCGCGAGAGAGGAAACAGGTGTTCGAGAAGTAAGTTGTCATCTATGTTGTTGTATTAAAGTAGATATATATAGAAATAGGTATAAGTACATTACATATTCTTTTATCACACAAACAAAAAAGAGCAAAATATATCATTATCTTTCACCATTTCTTGTCAATATTCAGTCCTGTAAATCACCCACTCCAGGGATGTTGGCTTTTCCTAGCAACATTCTTGGTTGACATTGCCTCGTGCTATCCTGGGAACCCTGGGTCTGCTTTACCTGCCTCACTTAGTCTGGGGCACCCTGTGACTGACTCTAGTCATCCTCACACTAGTTAGTATATAATGATGGGAAATTAACTATAACCAGTACTGGTATGCTGCAGACTGAGTCCAGGAGACAAGGCAGCAGGAATTCCATGTTTCATGAAGGCAGGAAATGGTATCAACTTTGAAAGCTGCTACAGAAAATATACATTTCCAGAGTTTATATGGAGGCCATGCAAGTGTTAGTTGTGCTGAGATTTTATAAACAAAAATTACGTTGTGAAATAAAAGGTGTTATTCCTTTTAGCACATTTGTATATCATGAGCGGAGAAAGAAAGCATTCCATTGCAATGTTAATTTTATGGCATTAGTCTTTTGCACCATGCGATCTCTCTCACTCGGTAGCAGAAATACTTGCTTAATTTTGCATACAGGGAGTAAGATCTAGCTCTTGGGCTAGATAAATTGTATCAAGTGAATTTATTCATCTTGGTGTTATGCAGGTAGTACTATCTAAGCTCACTTGTCCGGACTATATGGGAAGGATCCCCCTCATCGGATAAGCAGAATTCTTTCAGGGGAAGTCCAAAACTTACCAAATTTGCAATTTTTTGTACCACATCCAATATAATTTGAATTTCCACATACATTATATATAAAAAATATAATTTAGAAGAGAAACTTCGGCATACCTTGTAGTAGTTTGCCTTTTTGTGTGATACTGTAGATCTTGGAATGCGTAATTCTTAAAATTTACATAACCTAATCTCTGGTTGTCTGGATTTCTGTCGTGATATGTCCAAGTTTTGCTAGAAAATTATCCAGACTTGGCTTAGACTGTGTGCCAGTCTGTGTTATCCTGCCAAATTGCCAGTTACCCAGATTTCTGTCCGGATGTGGCGAAGTGTTGCGGAAAATTAACTAGATGCGATTTTTAATTTATCTTGGCTATGAAAAGATTACACCAGCATTGATATTTTCTCCCATGCTTCAGTCTCTGAATATACAGAATTTTGTTGGCATTTTTCCTTGCTTATAATTGATTATCTCTAGCTTAGTTTTTAGCATAATGAATTGCCTCTTCCTGGGCACTGGTGTATCACTCTTCTTTATCGGTCATTATTAATAGTAGTTTTCTTGATAAACTTCTGAAATAATCCACAGTTTATCCACTTTTTTCATGAATTCCTGCTTAGTTACGCACCTTCTCGTGGAATGTCCTGGTTTTCAAATTTATTACAAGTCTTGCTTTCCAATATTTCACCTGGGTTACTTGATGAATCCTTGGTGAATCCCAGTGCCTTTGATGTACTTGTCTTTTTGCTTTCATCCTTGCATCCCGAGTGATATTTAGGGCCCATTGAATGTGCCGCGCCACAGACCTTGCTAAATAGTCATGGCTTGGTGTTCTTCTTTTGATACTTATTTACTGAAGCTCAAGAATACTACTGACAGGGACAGTGAGAATCAGCCACATTGAAATCTCAGTTGTGCACAAATATTTTGTAACACCACATATACATGAAAGTAGCAGTCTTTGTAATAGTGGGTAAGTACAGGTTTCATATAGTATATCCAGATACAAAAAAATGAGAACTTTGGAGACCCCATTATATGTGAATCTGTTAATTGCCCTCTTGGAGGCTAAGGCATTATGTTGCTATTAATACTGCTATATAGTTTAAAAACGAAAAGCTGTAATGATGATCGTGTTTTTTATATTTTGAATTCAAAATGTCCCGTTATTTATTATCACATTTAAATCAAAAGAGGAGTGATCAATTTGATCAAAAATCACCAATTTGTGGATTTTCCAAAGCAGGCAACTGCCCCTCCTCCCCACTCCTGCTGTGCAAATGATGACTGTTGAATCATTAGAAAACCCTAAACACAAAATTGTTCAAATAAATAATTGCAATCTTGGTAAGAGAATGAGCCAGAGGACAAGTGAAACACTTTGGAACTGGGTTTAGTGTGATTATGTGTGAAGATGTTACAAGTGACATAAGCCATTATCTGACTCAATAATCACAGGCAGGTTTTGAAGTGGCTGGTAACAACAATATGTAATATCTGTTACAGTCGGTAAGTAACGTGAGAGATGCAGCCGCAACAAGGTATAAGACACTGCAGGCTGAGCAAGTATGTGACATGATGACACTACTCAAATGATTTTGGAATCGTACCAAGTTTTGCTAAGCCCAAGGTAGAAACAAATTGGGTATATCAGATGGGGCAGTTCCTAGGTATATCAGTATACCTAGGATGTTTCCTGACATACCTAGGATGATTAAACACCCTGTGCTACTTATGATTATGAACTGATGATTTAGACATCATGCTTTTATTGGATGCTTCAAGATGATAGCTTTTTCACTGTAAGATATTAGTTTCTTTTCGTCCTCCATCACTGTTATCGAGGAATGCACCAAGAGTCTTCAACCAGATTTTGAGTTCCCAATTGAGGGAGCGTTGAACCTGGAGGCTGTGACTCGGCATGGGTACGATTTTATGGACAAGTGACAAAGAAAGTTCAGAGGTCTTCTTACAGCATGATAGCAGGAAATGTTCCAGGGCAATTCGTAATCCAGATTGTTTCACGAGATATAACATGACCACACTTATCAAGTAGGAGATAGACAAAAAAAAACTCTCTGGGTTAATAATAGCCAAGTGAGGTCACCAAATACTGCCAGATTACTGGAACTGACTAAGCTAGCTTACTTATCTTTGACAAATGCTGACTACATACTGGATGAGACCTTCAATTTTAACATGGTGTAATAATAACAGTTGCTATGCCAAGCAAGGGGAGAGCTCTCGTTGACATGCGAAAGTAAGCAAGACTCCAAGACCAAATCGATCTAAATATAAACCGGTGTTTTTACATCGTCTGCAAAATACTGAAATAATTATTAGTCATTGTGGCATATCTGGAGAAAACAAATTATAACTGATAGCAGCATTGGTTTAGAAGGGACAAGTCAAGCATAAGGAACCTGTTAAGTTAAACAAGTTGCCAAAATATGGCAGAATATAGGGAAGGCCTGGATGGATTGCATCGTCTTATGCTGCTTAAAATCTTTGGTTTCAATTAAAAGATCAATATGCAAAATTAAGAAATGGGTGGGAAGGTATGATACTAAACTGGCCACCAGTATTAGTGTGGAGATAATTGGAAAGTGGGGATGCATAAGGCTTAGGGTCTGGTCAGGGTTGCTTCTAGTAGATTGCTCAATGGTGGAGGACCTAAACAAGAAGTTAGTGTCTGATAAGTTTTCCTAGAATTCAGTCCCAGCAATTGTGAGCTAATTAAGTTTTGGAAGTGGAGTTAAGATGTCTGAAGGATGGTGCATAATAGTAAGAATACTGGAAAAGTAAACAAAATAAAAATAATGGAGGACCTGCAGGTGGATGTAGTTAAAACTGACTACAGGGAAATATACGTCATGAAAGTCCTTATATTTGCAACGCCACTGTGGAGACCCCCACCTTGTGAAGCTTTTATTAGAAAATAATGAAAATCCAGAGTTGCTTTGAGATGAGTAACAAAGAAAAGACAGATTTAAGAGAACTCAGTCTGCTTGTAATGCAGGTACTATGTACAGTGGTGGGCTACTCATTTTCTAATTTAATTGATGTGAAAGGGAAGCCCAAAAAGTGCCTCATTGGTATGTTGTAGTAGTACCAGAAGCCTCTTATGTTCAATGTGTTTACCAGCTTTTGTGACAATCATCCACCCCTTATCTCCATGGCAAGAGAAGGTACCTACTGATTCCCCTTAGTTGGTCAAGCGGGTCTCAAGGGCAACCATCCTTTTGACACAAGGGTGACACCACACATCTCCCAGGTGATCCTGGTAGGGCAAAGCCTGTCCTAATGCAGCAATAATTGAAGCAAAGGACTAAAAAAAATATGACTTCGTTTTGAATGTGATAGCGATTCACAGTGTGAGAAATCTTGACTACTTTGGTTTCAAGTATGCCAGTCGTATTTTTATATGCAGTCTAGCCGTATAGAGAGAATTGGCATAGTTATTGAGTGCCTGTAGTTGAATGATGAGCGATATATGTGATGGGGGTATCACTTAATGGTGTAGAAATGTGTGTAATTTCTTTTGCTGCACTAATGTCCCCTTAAGGAAAGAAGTAGAAGCACTACAACCACACACTATTGCAATGTCCAGAAAGGCTTTGATTAAGAAAAGTCATCCGTGCTCTTGTGATGATATTCATGCTGCAGGGACTACACACAAGGGGAGACCTACATCATCCTGGTGTACTCTTAATTGGATCTTGCATGTCTGAAGCAAGGTAGGGTGTTATAATGCCAAAAGCTGATTTTTCTAAGAACTGTACTGTCTTCCAGAGGATATGGCTGTGATGCTTGAGGTCTGAGCTCACAGCTTGTACTCCTTTGTTCCTCACTCTCTCAAGCCTGAATTTAAGTGTGGAAGAGGGAGCATTGCTTCTATGGATTATGCAAGTATGTCCTCTCCACATAACCACAGTGGGCTGGTGAGATAACTTCTGATGCTTCCATCCTGCATGCCAAGTTGATCAGGTGGATGTTAGTCTTCTCATCCTCCCATTATTGAATGTACAGTTACAAGCTACTATGGTTAGTACACTCTCATTCCATCTTCACAATCGTTATTAAGTGTAAAAAAAAAAAAAAAAGAAAAAAGGAAAAAATCTGAAAATTTATTTCATATATATATTTGGTATGTGCTCAAGTGCATTCATTGAACTTGGTGAGTGATCATTTCAGACTTTT